CTTGACAGTTTTGACGCACTCTGGTGTGAAATGATCAGGGAAAGTCTTTTTACGTATCGCCTTTTTAGTCCGTGCATCCACTGCTTTCAATTCGCCAAAAGAGCTTTCTTTCGCCTCAAAGGTAAAATGAACTTGGCTGTTTCTCTCAAAGGTAAACATTTGAAGGTCATTCGTCACACTTTCCGTTATTTTTTGTTCAATGTCTTGCAAGGCATGACTATTTTGTTTAGCATGAACAAACAAATCACCCAAATCCCTCGTCTGTTTAGTTATCTGCACATACATATCTTTAAGGTTCCGTTTCATATCACGCATGTCTCTCAAAGTTGTCCTTAAAATCGTGTCATTACGTTGCTTCAGATTTTCACATTTTACTAGTAGCTTTTTTACGATATTGTCCAAGTATGTATTAATTTCATTTCGAAATGAACGTATATCATCTACTACTTGCATATGTAGGTCTTCCACAGCTTTGACATTTTCTTCAACTTTTTTCTTTGCTAACTTTACATCATTTTTAAGGCGTTTAACCTTGTTCACCAATTCATAATATTCCATACTTTCCTTAAAATCTGCAGAAATGTCGGGAATGAAATCGATATCACACGAATTATGACCTAGAGTCATACAGGTTGTGCAACCAACAGCATCATGTTCTTTACAGAAGAAATGGACTAATTGTGATCCATGTTCTAAACATACTTCCGTACAGTTATGTTTAGCTGAGACCAATTTCGTATCTCTTGGCATGCTATCCTTGTCTAGCAGAATATGGTGTTTTGTCGGAGTAGGTTTACAGTGACATTTGTAACAGTCTACACATAAATACTCTGTACATGTTTGACAGAATCCTTTAGCCTCTTTTTTCTCTCCTTCCCTTTCACACGGATGACATCTAAATACAAAGTCAGTCGGTGATTTATTTGAACATTTTGATTTCTTTTTACCTGAAACCTCCATTTTACTAAACTTTTCTACCTATTTTATCAAAAAAGTTAAAATCAATATGTTTAAAAACAAACAGCAAATGTGTTACAAGTATTCCGTCAAGTTAATATTTTCTTTCATCATTTTGTCCCTTTTCCATACGACTAAATAAAAGAAATTGTTTGTTTAATGAAGAAACCTTGAAGCTTTGGTCAAACAATTTCGTAGATATCACTACACAAATTTAAACCTTGTTTGGCAACTTTTCAAAATTAAATATACTTCCTGATCAATAAGCTGGATCAATCAATAATCGTATCAACCGACACATTGCAAATCGATTTTTAAATTACAAAATTATTTTCACGTTCATGCTTGTGTTTTTTTTGTTTTTGTTTTTCTTTTTTGCATCATGTTTTTGTGCCTCTTTACTGACCCATGTCCCACTGAAAATAATTCAGCATAATACATGTACACGCACATTCGTGTCAATATTTTCACCTGCATTCGTGTCAAATTGATTACAAATGATACAGAGAAAAAGAGAGACATACTGAAATGCTTTAAACAATATTTATTTCATTCATTTTTGAATATACAATGTAGTATTTTATATGAATTGGAATCGGGATTGATTAGAAAGCTTATATGAAATTCACACCTTATACTTACTTAAAGAGGAATTTATTAAGAAACCTTTAAAGAATGAAATACATGTCTATAATTTTATCAAAGGCAAACATTATGTACTAAATTAGTCAAGGTATACAAACAAAAGTATTTACTGTGGGCTGATGTTCAAGTTTTAGTTGTCTATCTAAGGATACCAACGTACAAAAACAGTAGTCCAAACCAAAAATAAGTATAAGACAGTGCCCACAAAGGACAACATCGAAATGTATAATTGTTTTGTTTATTTAGACAGTTTACGAAAAAATAAACACATTTATGATTATAACAACAAATGTCGCATTTTAAAATCTTAAAACGTACACTAGCTACCTCGAAAAAAATATTGTGAAGATGAAGCGAATCATTTGTAACCATCTGATGCTCTTTTTTGTGTGTTTAAATATAAAAAAGAATATTTATTTTCTTGAAAAAGCTACCAACAGTTACACTATTTAATGGTATTTGTAATTGTAGTGTACGGTACAGACTCATTAACATCATCCATTAGAAGTACGACAATAAACCACAATAGAACACATGACATGTAAACAAACCACATAAATTTATGTAGAGATAATTATGTAGAGACTATAAATAAAAAGAGCTTTGTAGTTTATTGCGCTGCTACACACTATAAATTTTCTTTGTTTGTTCGTTAGTCCTGACAAATATTCTCCAACTGTTGTTCACATTGAATATACATTCAATATGATATACATGTATTTGTTTGAATATTTTCTACTATCAACAAGTTCCGCACTTGTGTCAACCAGAGTCCGAGGTTATAAAGAAATTGTCTAAGCTCAAACTCAGATCTCCGGTATTTGATTGACCAGAAATCAGCTCAGGATACACTGACCAATGAAAATCACGAGATTTGAGACTGAACTTATAAAAATGTTTAATAATCTTGAGGCCTGGCTCAACTTTTTTCTGAGTTATATCTGGAAACTCAGGATTTCCATTGGTCAATTTACATTCTGTGTTTTTTTCTGACCAATCAAATGCCTGAGATCTGAGTTTATGCTCATTAAATTCTTTTATAACCTCGGACCCAGGTTATAAATCATGCAGAGAAAACACAAAAAATATTATACAATATTTTTTTTACAATACAATATATATATCAATACTTGTATATAAATTACAATCAGGATTTAGTAGAAAGCTCTTATATTAAATTCACACCTTTTGCTGATTTTTGAAAAATTAAGAGGTTTCTAATGAATGACATATTTGATATTATCAAAGGCATAAAATTGGATACCTTTTCATTTGTCTTCTTTATTGAAAGACAAAATATTTAGAAACTTCAACGCGCTTTCTCTATTTCGCAGAAAACAATGTTGAGTCATTTCCATATATTTATTACACTAAATAAATGTCAATATTGACCGCCGTGGACACGGTTTTATCTGCATGCAGAAGACTAATGACTCTGAGACCTTTCTATATGTTTAATACACAAATACAATAAGAGATAACATAACTGTCCCCCGCGAACAATTAGCCTTTATAGACAAATATTTTTTTAGACTTTTCCATGTATTCAATACACAAAAAATAACAAGCCGTGGACACTAAGTTCTTACTACTACATTTGAAACAATATATCAAAAAGGTAAACAACGATAAACCACAATAAAGCACATATTACACCTGAACAAACCACTTAAATATGTTTTAAATGTAGAGATACTAAGTTAAATGGTGTTTACACCTTCTTTAGTATGCAGTTTATTTTACTAGTAAACAAAGCATAATGTTTTTTCGTCTTTAACTGGTCGATATTCATATTGAATATACACTCAACATAATATATCAATAATACACCCTTTATATAGAGAAGGTTACATACAAAGAGAGAACATGCATACTTATTTTCAGTACAGCCTTCTGATTTAATAGTAACAAAAAAAAACTTGTAGATCTATACAAAATTTGAAATGTATTTGTAACTAGAGGGCCATGATGACCCTGAAATCGCTCACCTTATAGGCCCCCGGGGCCGGGCAAATTATAACCCGGGGGTTTTATTTGAACAAACTTGGTAGACACCCATTTGATGATGTTTCATGATAAATATCTAAGCACTAGCTCTAAGAAGATTTTTTAAGTTTAACTATACACATATAGGGAAAAAAATGACCCCCCCCCCTCTGGGCGGGCCAATTTTGTCCCCAGGGCTTTTATTTGAACAAACTTGGTAGACACTCACTAGAAGATAATTCATGCTTAATATCTAAACTCTAGCTCTTTGGGTTTTTTTAACAGAAGATTTTTTTAAGTTTTTACTATATGCATATAAAGAAAATCAATTATCCCCGGGGCGGGCCAATATTAACCCCAGGGCCCTTATTTAAAAAAAAATGGTAGACACTCATTAGAAGATGCTTCATGCTAAATATCTTAGCTCTATCTCTAAAGGTTTTTCAAAAGAAGATTTTTTAAGTTTTTACTATATACATAAAGGGAAAAAAATGACCCCCTGGGGAGGGGCCAATTTTGACCCCAGGGCTTTTATTTGATATAACTTGGTAGACACCCACTAGAAGATGTTTCATGCTTAATAGCTAAGCTATAGCTATTTGGGTTTTATAAAAAGAAGATTTTTTAAGTTTTGAATATATACATAAAGGGGAAAACAATGACCCCCTGGGGCGGGGCCAATTTTGACGCAAGGGCTTTTATTTGAACAAACTTCGTAGACACCCTAGCACTAGAAGATGTTTCATGCTTAATAGCTTAACTAAAGCTATTTAGGGTTTTTAAAAGAAGATTTTTTAAAGTTTTAAATATATACAAATAAGGAAAATCAATGACCCCCACCGGGGAGGAGCCAATTTTGACCCCAGGGCATTTATTTGAACAAACTCGGTAGACACTGACTAGATGATGTTTCGTTCCAATATTTAAGCTCTAGCTCTTACGTTTTTCTAAAAGAAAATATTTTTAAGTTTTTTCTTTCGGTTGCCATGGCAACCAGAGTTCTGCTTGGAATGAAATTCTTTGAACAATTTTTTAAGTTGACTACCAGAGGAACATTCCTGTAAAGTTTGGATGAAATTGGCTTTGCGGTTTATGAGGAGATGTCGTTTAAAGTAAAAGTAAAAACGGACGGACGACGGACGGACGGACGCCGGACGAAAAGCGATCACAACAGCTCACCATGTCACTTTGTGACAGGTGAGCTTAAAAAATTTATCAAATACTTGTATATTCTTTAAAATAAAGGTTAGATATTTCCATTCATTCATCCGACTGACACTCATATTAATCATAGTAATTATATAGATAAACTCATCATAATTAAAAATGACAATATCAAAGAAAGACAAAGGTGACGTAGAGGTTTTATAGATTTTTTTGATTATTTAGTTGACTTGACTGAATGCGTTCCTTTAATCAAATTTGTATTTGAGTAAAACATCTTCGTTTCCGCTTTCGGAACTAAGATAAAGAATTGGCCCCTCGTTTTCAATTTTTACACACACCACACGTGGTTTCTTCGTTCCATGTAGTAGTATCCTTATTTTCTCGCAGTTTGGTGAAATCAGATGTAAATTGTCATTTCCAAAGTTACAAACTACAACTGATCCATCGTCACAAACTTCTATTCCTTTTGGATTTACAAGATTGTCATCTCTGTATTCAGAAAGTACTTGTCCAAATTTAGAAATCTTTACTACCGTGTGCTTCAGAGTATCAGAAATGTAAAAACATTCATTTTCACAATCAGTGGCTATATACCGTGGACAAAGAAATAATTCCTTTCCATGCCTATCTTTTGCAAAACGCTCTAGAACTTTCCCATCCGTACTCAGTATTTCCACTTTTGGAGGATCAATAAATGACACAGCAAGCTTTTCCTTGTCGAACGCAGTTATTCCAGCACATTCTCCGCTTACAGCGAAACTTGTTTGCTTCGACAAGCATCCATTTGCATAAGAGACCATATAAATCTTCTGTTTATCCCCAGTAGTTATTGCAAGTCGATAGCATGAAAGACACGTTACATCACAAGGGTCAGCGCTGAGTTTCAACACTGATGTAACTTTATCAGCTTTGATATTTTTCAACTTCAATAAATTGTTATTAAAGTCACAACATACTACCGTATCAGTTCCTATCACAACAATTCCAGTGATTCGACAATATTTATTGTCTGTTGTTGATCTAACACTGACAGTTTTGACGCACTCTGGTGTGAAATGGTCAGGGAAAGTCTTTTTACGTATCGCCTTTTTAGTCCGTGCATCCACTGCTTTCAACTTGCCAAAAGAGCTTTCTTTATCCTCAAAGTTAAAACGAACTTGGCTGTTTCTCTCAAAGGTAAACATTTGAAGGTCATTCGTCACACTTTCCGTTATTTTTTGTTCAATGTCTTGCAAGACATGACTATTTTGTTTAGCACGAACAAACAAATCACCCAAATCCCTCGTCTGTTTAGTTATCTGCACATACATATCTTTAAGGTTCCGTTTCATATCACGCATGTCTCTCAAAGTTGTCCTTAAAATCGTGTCATTACGTTGCTTCAGATTTTCACATTTTACTAGTAGCTTTTTTACAATATTGTCCAAGTATGTATTAATTTCATTTCGAAATGAACGTATATCATCTACCGCTTTCATATGTATGTCTTCCACAATTTTGACATCTTCTTCAACTTTTTTCCTTGCAAAATGAACATCATTTTTAAGGCGTTTAACCTTGTTCACCAATTCATAATATTCCATACTTTCCTTAAAATCTGCAGAAATGTCGGGAATGAAATCGATATCACACGAATTATGACCTAGAGTCATACAGGTTGTGCAACCAACAGCATCATGTTCTCTACAGAAGAAATGGACTAATTGTGATCCATGTTCTAAACATACTTCCGTACAGTTATGTTTTGCCGAGACCAATTTCGTATCTCTTGGCATGCTATCCTTGTCTAGAAGAATATGGTTTTTTGTCGGAGTAGGTTTACAGTGGCATTTGTAACAGTCTACACATAAATACTCTGTACATGTTTGACAGAATCCTTTAGCTTCTTTTTTCTCTCCTTCCCTTTCACACGGATGACATCTAAATACAAAGTCAGTCGGTGATTTATTTGAACATTTTGATCTTCTCTTACCTGAAACCTCCATTTTTCTTCAATTTTCTACGTACAGTAAACTCAAAATGTTTAAATACTTGGTAAAACAAACAGAAAATGTGTTATTCCTTCAAGTATCATTTTGTCCTTTTTCCATACGACTAAATAAAGTTTTTGTTTGATGAAAAAAGCAACAAAAGAACAACATTTAATCTTTTGTAAAATAATTTCGTAAACATCACGTACACAGCTGTAAACTTATCAAAAGTAAATATACATCCTGATCTATAAGCTGGACTAAACAATGATCGTATCGATCGCTACCACATTGCAAATCGATTTTTAAATTACAAAATTATTTTCATGTTCATGCTTGTTTTTTTTGTTTTGTTTGTTGTTTGTGATTTTTTTTCATCATGTTTTTGTGCCTCTTTACTGACCCATGTCCCACTGAATAAAATTCAGCATAATACATGTACACGCACATTCGTGTCAATATTTTCATCTGCATTCGTGTCAAGTTGATTACAAATGATACAGAGAAAAAGAGCGACATACTGAAATGCTTTAAACAATATTTATTTCATTCATTTTTGAATATAGTATTTAATATAAATTGGAATCGGGAATGTTTAGAAAGCTTATATGAAATTCACACCTTTATACTTACTTAAAGAGGAATTTTATTAAGAAACCTATAAAGAATGAAATACATGTATATAATTTTATCAAAGGCAAACATTATGTACTAACTTAGACAAGGTATTCAGAAACTTTTCCACATGCTTTGAATTCTCTATTTGGCAGCGACTTTCCCATATGTTTAATACACTAAAGAGTGAGTGAAAATATTGAAAGTAAGTTTTAATATGCAGAAGGCAAGTTATTCTGAGATTTTACTATTTGCTTATAAGCATAAATGCACTATTACACTAAAAAGTAACAAGATTGATTGCCGCGGACAAGTTTTAGACTACTAATTTGATAATAATTCGTCACACTTTCTGTTAGTTTTTGTTCAATGGCCTGCAAGAGATGACAATATCTTGTTTAGCATGAACAAACAAACAAATCCAAATCCATCGACTGTTTAATTAAGCTAGGTTCCGTTTCATATCACGCAAATCTCTAGATCTCTTAGTTGTCCTTAAAATCATATCATTACGTTGGTTCAGATTTTCACGTTTTCCTAATAGCTTTTGTATTACAATTTTAATATGTATTAATCATGTTAATTTCATCTTGAAATGAACCAATTCCCAAATATTCCATACTTGAATGAAATCGATATCACACGAATTATGACCTAGAGTCATACAGGTTGTGCAACCAACAGCATCATGTTCTCTACAGAAGAAATGAACTATCTGTGATCCATGTTCTAAACATACTTCCGTACAGTTATGTTAGGCTGAGACCAATTTCGTATCTCTTGGCATGCTTTCATTGTCTAGAAGAATATGGTGTTTTGTCGAAGTAGGTTTACAATGGCATTTGTACTAGTCCACGCAAAAATACTCCGTACAGGTTTGACAGAATCCTTTAGCCTCTTTTCACACGGATGGCATTTAACGGTGATTTATATTTGAAGATTGTAATTGCCTCCCACCTGAAACCTCCATTTTGCTTCAATTTATAACACTAAACAAAACGATGTTTTTGTTTGATGAAGAAACACTAAACCTTGTAGAAAATAATAACGTAAACATCACGTAAAGAAATTTAAATCTCCTAGCTGTTATAACCAGTTATTTTTTATAGCCTCCTCCGGTGAATAAAGTGGATTGGAATCATATACATTGGCTTATTTATCACAATAAAATTACATCCTATTGTTATGCCCCCGAAGGACGGCATATTAAAATCGCACCGTCCGTCTGTCTGTCTGTGAGTCCCACTTCATTCATGTCTGACTGTAAATTTGTCATACATTGAGAAATTTTGAAAAAATCTTGGCACAAAAGTCAACCACATCAAGATGATTGGTCGCGTCCAAGAACCACGTCCCTACTTCAAAGGTCATGGTAACACTAACATTTTGAAGTTTCACATTATCACAATTAGAGTTAATAGGTACACACATTCGTGTCCGGACTGTAACTTTGTCATGCATCGTAGGATTTTAAAATAACTTGGCATAAATGTCTACCACATCAAGACGATGTGTCGCGTCCAAGAACCACGTCCCAACCTAAAAGATGAAGGTCACACTTATACATTTTGAAGTTTCACTTTATCACAATTAGTGTTTATACTTTATAGGTACACACATTCGTGTCCGGACTGTAACTTCGAAGGATTTTAAAATAACTTGTCACAAATGTCTACCACATCCAGACGATTTGTCGCGGCTAAGGCTCGTGTACGTCTGTGCGTCCCCACTTACATAACAATCGTGTCCAGACTGTAACTTTCAAGATCAAGGTCACACTAACATTTTGAAGTTTCACTTTATCACAATTAGTGTTTATAGGTACACACATTCGTGTCCGGACTGTAATTTTGTCATGCATTTAGGGATTTTGAAATAACTTGGAACAAATTTCAACCACATCACTACGTTGTGTCGCATCCAAGAACAAGCCCTCTCTTCAAAGGTCAAGGTCACACATTCGGTTTTACGCTGTCACAATTAGAGATTATAGGTAGGCACATTCCTATCTAGACTGTAACTTTTGTCATGTGTCAAAGAATTTTAAAATAACTTGGCATAAATGTCTACCACATCAAGACGATGTGTCGCGTCCAAGAACCACGTCCCAACCTAAAAGATGGAGGTCAGTCAGGTCACACTTATACATTTTGAAGTTTCACTTTATCACAATTAGTGTTTATACTTTATAGGTACACGCATTCGTGTCCGGACTGTAACTTCGAAGGATTTTAAAAAACTTGTCACAAATGTCTACCACATCCAGACGATTTGTCGCGGCTAAGGCTCGTGTACGTCTGTGCGTCCCCACTTACATAACAATCGTGTCCAGACTGTAACTTTCAAGATCAAGGTCACACTAACATTTTGAAGTTTCACTTTATCACAATAAGTGTTTATAGGTACACACATTCGTGTCCGGACTGTAACTTTGTCATGCATTTAGGGATTTTGAAATAACTTGGAACAAATTTCAACCACATAACTACGTTGTGTCGCATCCAAGAACACGCCCTTTCTTCAAAGGTCAAGGTCACACATTCGGTTTTACGCTGTCACAATTAGAGATTATAGGTAGGCACATTCCAGTCTAGACTGTAACTTTTGTCATGTGTCAAGGGATTTTAAAATAACTTGGCATAAATGTCTACTACATCTAGACGATGTGCCGGGTTCAAGACCCATGTCCCTATTTCCAAGGTCAAAGTCACGCTTATACTTTGTAGGATGTACACATTCCTGTCCGAATTGTAACTTTGTTGTTCATGTAAGGATTTTTAAATAACTTGGCACAAGTGTCTACCACATTCAGACAATCTGTCGCGGCTAAGGCCCATATTAAACTACCTTAAAGGTCAAAGTCACACTAATTGCATGGTTGAAGGTATTAAATTGTTTCCAAGCTGTAGCTTTGTAATGCATGGCAGGATTTTAAAATTACTTGGCACAAAAGTCAAACACATCACGGTGATGTGTTTTATTTAGAACCCATGTCCGTTTGTCAAAGGTCAATGTCACACAGTTTGAATGTTTCACATTCCCACAAGTAGAGTTTAAAGGTACACGTATTTGTGTCTGGACTGTAACTTGTTTATGCATGGAAGGATATTTAATTAACGTAGCACATTATGTCTAACACATGTCGTGTACAAGACACATGTCCTTACCTCCAAGGTCACTCTTACAGTTAGAAGGTACTCATTTTCTCAAGAAGAGTTTGAAGATATACATTACTAGTGGCCGGACTGTAACTTTGACATGCATTGAAGAGTTTTAAAATAACTTGGCACTAATGTCTATCACATCAAGACGACGTGTTGTGTGTAGACCCATGTTCCTACCTCCAAGGTCAAAGTCACTCTAATAGTTTGAAGGTACTTATGCTCATAAGAAGAGTTTGAAGGTACAAACTCGTTTCCAAACTGTAATATTGTCATGCATTGAAGGATTTTAAAATAACTTAGCATAAATTTCTACCACATCAAGTTGATGTGTCGCATCCAAGACCTATGTCCCAAGGTGGTAAGTTTGCCATAAATAGCACTTCATTTCACAAGAACAATGTCAAACAATTATTTACTTTTTTCTTTTCATAATAACTTTCTGCAATGCTTAAGAAACCTTTTCTGAGACATTTGTCACTTTTGCGTGCCAGCTCTTGTTTTGATATACCAATCAATGTTTTAATGTAAAATGTATACACTGATCAAACGTAGAATGCAATGCAGTATTTTAAATTTTGCTGTTTGGACTTTTTTTTTAGAAATTCACTTTTCTATATTTAAATCTCACATTTCCTGGATTATTTTTATATTTCTGCGTAGTCAAAATATTTTGCTGTGCTAAAGCTAGACTATGAGATACTTTTGTTCTGGGTTTGAATCTAGCTCCTAGAGACTTATAACCAATGCATACAATGCACAATGTAATGCACAATGTACTCATTGTAAAATTATTTGCATTTATTCTTGTGTTTTGTGATAATTATGGTGGAATAAAGCCTGTTGAATATGTATGAATGTGAAGACTGGTTTGCAAAAGTCTGTTAGATCATCGCTTTATCATGTTTTAAAAAACACAACAAAATACATGACTGCGATGGAAATAAAAATTGGGTTTTGGTAATTAAATCATTTTATTACAAAACACAATTTCACAAATCATTTCTAAAGCAAGGTAATCGTAAGCCATTCTCAATATTATATGATAAAAAAATAAGCTTGATATATCGTAAAAAAATTCTTTATTCAAATTGTCCATAAATTCGTATATTTTAATATTGGCTACAAAAAGAAAACGAAATGTGACTTATATGTAAAACTACTAGAAATATGTCAAAAGGACACTTATGCCCCAACTTGTTTACCTGTCACAAAGGCATCTTAACATACACATACATATGCATATTTCATAAGGTCAAGAGTTTAATGTAAGTAATATAATAGTACTATAACTAATAGTTTCACAAAAATAATCATGACTTGGGGGGAAACTCTATAGTTACTTTTAAGCCAAGAATTTCAAAGTGACCTTGACCTAATGACCTCCAAATTTACAAAGGCCATGTACTTGTCATGGCCAATGCAACCACCAAGAGCATACCCCTAAGATGTTGAGCACACCTGCGGTGGACATGTTGGAAGACAAGGACAAATAAGTAGAGTTAAAATTGAAAGATCCTTTCATTGACCTTTAATTTGATTAACAATAGATCTAACAACAATTGACAAAATTCATAGCTTATTCCTTCTCAAGAATATGATAGAACAAGGACAACAGGACATCACTGTCATGCATATGTACAGACTGTCACACAAATGTATGGACCAGCCCATCACAGTATTCTCTCCACATTTTTAAGTGGGATTTTTAATCTAACACTAATAATGCAATGCACCTGGTGTAAATCTTCCCTGTCCAATAAACTATACATATTTATTGGGATTATCTAACATACTGTATGTAAAGATGTGAAATTATTGAGAATATACTGAAATTCATTAAAATTATTTAAGACTTAATTTAATTTAATTAAATATACTTTTCTAATCCACAGAAGTGTACAGATACATATATAAAATGTTCATCTTTGTAGAAAATGAGAAAAAGACCAAAAGAAGCATAACAATATTTTCACCTTTTTGGCACAAAATCAAACAAAGCATATATTAACTTGAAAATTTAATAATCTCTATATATTGTTTACTTTACCTTGTAGGGAAGTTAAAGATATAATGATCAAAAGAACAACAAAAGCTGTCTAAGGAGCAGTGTGCTACACTTTTCTCAATATATGATATGATAAAAGCAGAGGCACAAATCTGAAAAACTGCTGAAAAGAATTATCTGTCATTGATAGTGCAGAAGTAGAAAAAGGCATCTTTGTGATGGATTTTGAAAAAAATAAGGAAAATAATTAAACAAATATTACCTTGAATTTTATCTGCTGTTAAGAAATGCATTCCAATTTTTACAATGAACAAGTATTCCAAGTTCAAATGAATATCTTTGATATTTTTTTTTTGAGAAATTAACCTTAACATAAAAGTTAAGCAGTTAAAAAAAATACTGAAATTAATCTAAACAAAAAAGTAAACCAGGGCATAAAAAGGTCAATAAATTTGAAAAAAGGTGCATTACTTTGCAAAATATAATTTCTGGATAATAATTTTATTATTATGTCCTTGTGACCTGGCATCATATGTTGATAATGAACAAGTGTTTCAAGTTTGAACTCAATAGCTTTGGTAGTTTCTATGAATGTGGACCTATTACAAGTCACAACGACCTTTGCTTTTAACCACAGACAGAACTCAACAAGGTGTATCCACATATGAAGTTTCAATCTTGTACATTAATAAGTTTTGAAATTATTGACAAGAAACAAAAACGTTCAATAAAGTTCAACAGAAACAAAGGACACTGCGTTAGATGTTGGCACCCTTCTATAAATAACCAATTTTTATAAATATTTAAAGTTAAAAGGAGCATAATTTTTCAAAACTATTGCTTTCACATTTATCATCAACTTCCGTGATATAATTATTTATCAGAGGCCATCCTTAAAAAAATGTTTGTTTGCAGTAACCCGACCCAGAATTTTCAAGGTGGGTAGGTAGGTCGATTTTTTTTTTTTTTATTGAACCGTACTCCCAAATAAACATGGAATTTCAAAATGCTGGACAATATATGCTTTGATAATCTGGTAACAATTAATAAATTGATAACTGAATTCTAATTTAATAAGACCTACATTTTATTTCTTCCATTAACCTTTAAAAGAACAAAAACAAAGCACAAGGCATAATTTTCTGATTCAAAAAAAATTATTTTTATTCAGACCATGAAAAAAAATTTTGAGAAGGGACAAATTTTGTGAGTCGGTCGCGTTACTGCAAACGAACATTTTTTTAAGGATGGCCAGATCATAACCATATAAATCATTATTATAGTTTCATTTCTGTAAAGTTTGGTCAAAAACTACCAAATGAAGAGTTGCCATGTTGTTCTCAAAAGAATTTTTGGATAATGATGATCATCGCACAATAGACCTCAGAAATCTTTAAAGATCCTGTAACACATTTTTTTCATGGTTTCATTTCATAAATATAATGCTCAAATTAAGATTTGTCAATATTGTAAGTTCCAATAAGCATTATTTATAAAAATATTACTGAATTTAACAATTCATGTAAATAAAGGGAGGTAATTAGAAATTTATTTTCTATAAATTCTAAGTCAAATTTTCCAATAATAAATGAATGCATATAATTTATTGATTAAATATAATGTGCACAAATATTTGCAATACACATTTTACATATTCTTGGATGTTTGAGAATTGTTTTATTTGCATAATTATATACATATATAATTTTTTGCAAGTGTGGTATACACACAGTCACAATATCAATCACAAAAACATACAGGATCTTTAAAAGCTTGATTTCTTGTGCTCAGATAAAATAAAAATTTCTATAGACCTTTAAGGCTTTTTGCAATGTAATGTATATGTATAATTCAATATATTTGTATAAAAAATACTGTAACAAAATATGCACCATGACTTTACAACATTGCATAGCTACTTTGATATACTAAATGCATAGTTCTATATTACTATTTTCATCAAAGTTCATCTTTCTTTGACTTAGTTTTGGATTTATTCTTAGAAGGCTGTTCCTTCAATTGACAGTTACAGTTACTATCATCTTTTGGCTGTTCCACTAACTCCCATGAATCATCAGGTTTGGTTGGCGGAGATTTGAATCTTTTGGAATATGTCTGAAACAAAGAAACAATAACCATGGATTTAATATTGTGTAAAATATGAAAGTAGTGACATTTATACCTTCAATTTGACTCTTACCGTGCAAAATATCTTTAATGAACCTGTCCATTATTCAAATTGTACAAAATCTTTAATTGGCACAATTCCAAAATTAGAACTAACTGAACAACGAGCAACACAGACCATAATCAGACAGCACCAATGTGTCGGCTTATCTTGGCCTGCACTGGCCACATGTGTAGATTCAGACATTGCCAACAGGGTAATGGTCAAGATGCACAAAGTTTAAGGTAGACTACTCTGATGTAACCCTCTAAATTTATGCTAGCTACTCTAATGTGACAAAGAGTAAACCCAGACAGCTACTCTCTACAACCCTGACCAGAGTCGAAGTTGTTTATAATGATGTATGTCAACAGATTAAATAATGAACAAAGACAATCTAGTTTAGTTTATGTTTCAAACTTATAAGCTTTATGCCTTAGTAATCTGTGGTGAGGGCACAACTGCGTTATGTAATGATCATTCCAGTTTTTAATGCAAATAACTAAATATTGCTTTTCGAAAATTATTCCTATTCAACTATAGAGAGCACTCCTGTCAATTATATGACAATTAAAATTTCCTCTTTGAAAACTTAAATAATTTAAAATATTTTCAAAGAGAAACACTCAATTCAGCTTTACTGAATGTTTTCCCTCACAGTAAATTAACAAAAGAACTGAAAATTCCAAACATAATAACTCTTATATGTATTTTGTTTTGTTAATGTATAATCTTTCACTTGTAAGGTACATGTGCTACAATAATATACCTCAAGCAATATGTGTAACAGCAGAAGATCCAAGTGAGTACCCAAGTAGTACAACTAATGTCTGTAAACTAGCTGGATGGCCTCCTAACATGTAAGAATCAAAACTCAAAGGTCTTTGAACCACGAGCAAAGAGAGGCAAGGATACAAAATAAGTGACCATGACCACATAGATACCAAGGATCAACATACATCAAATAAGTCAACAAATTAGAATATGATCATTACATACCTCAAATAATTTCACATGATAGCAGAATATATCTTTGGGTAAAAGGTTTTCCAAAACATAGTTTTGTGCATTCCTTGCAATTTCATGTACCTGAAAAAGTTAAAATTAAAACATAACGATATAAATGGATAATGTAAACAGATATTTTTTTAAGGTTATTGAGAGAATATTCAAGAAACAATTTTGATTAAAGTTTTATAAAGCAGAATTCATGTACCACCCAGCTTGCATAGCTCAATCGGTAAGAGCGCAATACTTGTAATCTCGACATTGTGGATTCAATTGCCGGCTGGCCAACTAAAATTACTAATCAGTTTTTCAGATCAAAGTTCCATGTACCACTGCTTAAGCACTTGGCATGCTAAAAAAAGGAGAAGCCTCTGGAATTGGGGCATCTTTCTGTATCTTGCAATATCCTCCATAAATCTTAAATGACTTATACTCTTCTAGAGGACTCGGCCATATGGGCAACCAATGGTGAGTATAAATAAACTCAAATACACACACATTCATGTATCTAACAAGTGTTGTGTCTAGAACCTTCATAGGTTCTGGAATTCAAGATCTTTCATCTCCCCTTAATGTACTAAAATTTGCGAAATAATCATATTCTGCATGAGTTTGGAACTGTCCATGATCAGATTCAGGGATTCCAATATCAAAGTATTTAAGTTCAGCAGGTGACAGTATAAAATATGGTCAGACAGCAGGGTGGTGACAGTTACATTTTTTAACAACACTGTAGTTCAGAGAGTTACTCTTAAGAAAATTCAATGATATTGAAAGGTAGGTAAACAAGTTGAAAGCCTATGTATCACATAGCATTTTTCATCTATGCAGTTAGACCAGGCTCTATAATGTTGGTAGCTCATCTTTTGTATATTTTGATACTGAAATCACTTTATTTTCAAACGTACCATTTCAAATTCAAGTAAGTGTTAATCCATTACAAATTCAGCAGGTAAACACTTAATCATTACATAAGGATTGCATCAAATTTACCTTCTCATCATTTTCCTTTGCCCATTTTATTTTCTCCAGTAGATCGCTGAGATCTCTCTTGAATGGTATGTAGTGCACGTAAGGTTTAAGATCTTTGTAGAAATGTTCGTAGTAGAACGAATCTTGTTTAAGCACTACGGAATCTCCTGCCAGTAAGTAAGGCAATCTGTAAGCAGCTACTGTCCCGTCTATATTAACTTGATATTTATACTGAAAATAGATCAACAATTAGGAATGTTAAATGTACATTTACTATTTATTTATATTAGAAAAGTAGTTAAACTTTGGAATTTTCCTTTGGAATGTTAACTTGATATTTATACTGAAAAATTAAACAACATTTAGGAATGTTCCATTTAAATGTATAAACTGTTATTTATATGGCAAATTAAACAACATTTACAAATCATCCATCTGCTTGTTATTCATATTTGTAAAGTATTTAAACTTAGGATTGTTCTTTCTACCACTGACTTAATATTATATTTTACATACATACTGAAAATTAAACATTAGCAAGTTCGATTTACATTTACTTCTTATTTCTACTGCAATATACCAAATATCTAAGCTCTTGGCATCATAGTTTCTGAGTAGAGATTTTTATAAAATATGTTTCCTAAACAAGTCAATGAAACAAAGGTGACCCAAAGGTAGAGCAATTATTAACCAAAGGGAGATGATTGAAACAAGTTTTGTAAAGGACCACAAGTTGGTACTTCAGAATAAATATCTAAGCTTTAGACATTGTAAATTCTGAGCAGAAGATTTTATATGATTTCATTTTAAAATCAATTTCAGGTTACTGTGACTAGGGCTGTCATTGAATATCGCAATATCAATATATCATCGATATTCATCAATATCGATACAATATTGATACACACTTTCAAATATCGTTACAAGCTAATATTTATTTATTTCTGTTGGTGAATTATACCTCTCAATTTTGCCTAATAAGACAAGTCGCTTTTTTCCAGTTTTCCTTTAATCTTCGTTTTGAAATGTCAGTGACAAAAATAACAGAAAAAAACAAATTTTCTGTTAGTTTATATTATTTTTAATGTCTAATACAGGCATGCATAACACAATGATCCCAATTTATTACACATATTTAAATGTTTTTCATTGTATCTTAACTGTCAAAGTTGATATATCGTGATAGCGTCAATATTTGTCTCTCGATATATTGATACAGAATTTCCCATCAATTTCAGCCCTAACTGTGACCTTGTGCACGCAAAAGACTGGAACCATTTACATATATTTTGTAGAGGACCACTTTAGAATTACTCCTGTGAAAATTCGGTAAAAATCAAATATAGAGAACCGCTTTAGAATTACTCCTGTGAAAATTTGGTAAAAATCTATCTTAAAGTTAAGGAGAAGATATTGTTTAAATAAATACAGGATAAAAAGGACCACACGCAACAGATAGCGTATCACAAAAGCTCACCTCAGCACACTTTATGATAAGGTAAGCCAAAAAGAGGCCATTTTTTCCATAAATGAATATTTGAAAACTAAGAATCATTAAAATTTTTGACAAACCTTAAAGAAATCAAAGAAAGGAATATTGTTCACAAGCTCGCCATATTTCTCTTCATCGTGTTTAAAAAAGAACATTCTCGTCATTTTGGCATGAAGTAAATCAGGATTTTTTCTTGACATCACCACCAGGTCTAACCGTTCCTGCCGACTGTCACGCCCGCGCCAGAATCCAATTTCAGTCTTGTTCACCCATCGGGTTGGACTTTTACCCATTACACTGAATACATCTAAAGATTGCCTGCAATACAGTCAATACATTTTTCATAAATAGATATTTTAATACTGATTTTTAAGATATGTAAAAACAAATTCTATGGAAAAGATATTTTGATACTGATATTTTAAATAGTTAGTGCTCTTCTTGCATAAATGAATCCTTCTGTTTTGGCTATATTTGATTTTTTTCTCATAAAGAAACAGGTTTAAAAAAAAAAAAATTCAACACTTGAGTGTGATGTCATCTGACAGTGAAATTACCTGGATCTTCATTGCAGTCATGCATATTAAAAAATCAAACAATTTTATCCATTAAAGCAGTTTTCTTTCCTGTCAATGTACACCTACATGTACATGCGCAGGTATTTCGCAAGAATAATAAACAGATAAATTACCTTCCTAACATTTCTAAGGTTGCCTCAGTAAGATCATAAGTTGGCATGACAATATCTTGAGATTCATCTGATCCACACCATGAGAATATTGGTAATGGGTTGTCAGTCCGCTTCCTCTTCTCAAGAGGCCAATCTCCGAGATTTACGAAAAATTCAAGATCTGGCAGTTTAACCTAGTAATGTATGAAGTTTTACAATTTCTTTGTCTGGTTAATAAGCTGATTTTGACATAATTTTGGTCATATGTGACAGTCAGTCCACTTGACCAGATTTCCTTAATAAAAGATTTACACTAAACCAGTTATTACCAATCAATTAAAGTCTGCAAGTAAACTTCAAAGAACTGTTTTCCTTTTTCTGCAAGTAACAAACACACTATTAAAGTGATAAGGAGATTCTCCAACTTTAAAACAGAAAAAAAATGTCAGGTGCTTCTCACTGTAATATTGCAAGGAAAATGTTACACACAGTCTATAAAGAATTACTGCTTATCAGTATGGCAGATGATTTGTTTGTTTGTTTCATTTTACGCCTTTTCCCAACAGTATTTCAGTCATATAGGCAGGTAGTTTCCTAGCCATCGTTCCTTGAGAGTTACACCAGTACTAGACTACCTTCCTCCTTGCTAAACTACCAAAGCATCTCCCGGGGATCAAACCAATGCCAGAGAGGTAACTGGATTAGAAGTCATCGACTCTAACCCTTAGACCATGGAGGCAGTGTATGGCAGATGAATAAGTAGATAAGTAGACATTGGATTTATATAGAGACAGATATCATACTAACCTTCTTTGTTAGAGACAACAGGATGGCATCACTAAACATCTTAAAACCAACATGTTGACCATATGTTTTACGATATATCTGAAAAAGAAAACAACCCAAAAAACATAGAGCATTAGAGGGTGTAAAGATATAAATGGCCATAATATACTTACAAAATTTTAAAAATAAGACATTTACTTTGTTTCCATATACTAATGGTCATTTTTGAAATAAGTTTTTTAACAAAAAGTATAGTATTTACAGTCACTTTAGATTTAACAATGATTTCACTCATGTACCAAAAAACATGAGGAATAATAATACACTAAAAACCTGTTAAAATGATCATGCTGGGAACCATGTACTATATAAAGTCAAATATGGGCACTAATAATGTGCAATAAGTAATTAATTTTGGACATGATTTAACAAAAAAAAAATATTAATCAAACAATAGCAGTTTAGAAGGGTGTATCAATTGACAATATATAATCAGTTCAATGAAAACAAACGCTTTTCTTTAGCTTTTGATGTTTAGTCTTCTTCAGAAAAAATTGATGTTTTTAAAATAAATGACAAATGATGCAACGTCCATTTAACTATACGCTAAACAGAACACGCGGAAATAAAAACTTTGTCAAATAAATACAGAATCTTTTTTTTTTTTTCAATTGACAATAGAAACTGAATGTTTATAAAGATTGTTATTCTATACCTTACACTCAGAATATTTTCATTACATAAAAATCTAAAAAAAAAATGATTACCTTATTATCTATTATCTTGTAATAACAAAGACTATGTGCTGTTGATATATTAAATCGTTGTATAGTTTCAGCGGCCGTCTTCTCAAGGTCAACATCTTTAAACAGAGAAAGGTCATTCTTGATCTGTTTGTAGGACGCGGGACATTTCATACTACCGTACCATTGCTGAATATCTGGCTGAGGACAATAACACGTTTCTGGGTATATAAATCCTAAAATACAGAAATATATACTGATTTAAACTACTTCGTTTTGTTTATGCAAATTTATTTTAGTCTGATTGTGTTGGAAAGGTATGAGTATAAGCTTATTGAAACACTCTCGAATATGTTCCTGGGATGGAACCAAACAGTACTAAGCAATGAATGTAAAGTTTCTTGCTCAATGAAACAACGACTTGCCCCTGACAGGGTTTGAACCCATGTGGTCAGCAATTCTTAGTTTACTAGTTGATGCAATAACCACTCGGCCATGCTGCCATTTAAACTACTTGTAATCAGTGGTAGTATTACCTAAATGAACTTACCATATACGCTTGTCATGCTTTGGAATTTAAAAATATATCTCAAAATATATACATGTATACCGGTATATATATATAGAGAGAGAGAGAGTAAGGTCAGACAGCACTGAGATGCAGCCTGATCCAGGTATTTTCTTTCATTATTAGTCTTATCATGGTGTGCTATTGAATTCAGTCAGTACTTATATTGGAAATTTCCCTTAGAATGATGAATGGTTTTGTCCAGATTGAAAGATTCTCGAGTCTATTTAAGATGTTTAACAAGGTGAGAGGTAACCAAGATAATTACAGGGCTGTGCTTTACCAGTATAGTCAGGCTAGCCAGAGCATTTGTGCAGTCTGACCCTATGGACGCTATTCTGTTGATTACACAAATTAAGTATTTTGATACTAATTCTCTTTAAGTACAATATGGACTGTTATTCCATATTCACAACATAGCAAGTCCATTTCATAAATTATTAATCTAAAATATACTTAACAACAATAAATAGTATGAGAGGAACACACGACAACGTCGGAACAAGTTTAAAATTTTATTTAAACCCTACTAGTTTGGGTATTCACTACCATTTTTTTAAGGTATTAAAAATAAAGATATAATTAGTTAACTTCCCAAACAAGTGTTTTTATGAAGATTTGAGTGTACAGTGAATTACTGATACATAACTTTAATTTAATTTTACTTTAAGTTTTATTTTATAAATTGCTGCAATAACATAAATAGAGTTGCACAAAATCAAATCTTTGTATAAAATTAACTATCTTCTATATTATTTATCTAAGGATAAGTGAGGCACTTGAATGAAATTGTTTCAGATTACCTTTGTTTATTTGTTTGATAAGCTAGTTATGCATAAAGTCTTTTTAACTTACAACTTTTCTACATGTACAGGTATTATCTACCAGGGTAAAATGCAAACTCAAATGGCCACAAACCTGGAGTCAGGGGCAAGCTGTTGTTCCCTTCAGCAAGAAATTTCACTAATTGCTAAGAACTGGTTAGTTCCAGGAACGGATTTGAGAGCATTTCAATAAGGTCTTATAGCTTCCTACACAATCAAACAAAAAATAAATTTGTATTATCTAACAAAACTGAAAATTAAAGAAGCTCCACTGAAGTCCAACAACCTAAAGACATGAAATTTGAAAATTTTATATAACAACTGGGGCACTTAAATTGGAAAAAATATGAAAAAGATAATAAAGAAATAATTTTTATATATGTACTGAAAATTAAAATTGAAAATGAACAAACAGTGCGATTCTCAGCCCATTTCAAGTTAGAAGTGTTTATTAAATGCTTATGCTTTTCGTTGCACAACAAACATAACTACTCTGGAAATATGGAGTGAGCAGATGATATGAAATTTTGCACACAAGTTATTGGTATATATCTACATCGAACGAATTACAAATCTAAATGATTCATGTAAAAAAAACCCAATAAAACTCAGTGAAATCTCTTTCAGGGCAAAATATTTAATATATCAAATATAAAATCTTGAAGGATGTTACAAAGTAATAATGTAACAATTTTTTTTAGGTCTAATGAATTGACAGGATATGTTATTAGAAAACATCTGCTTTAGAATACACAACATGAACTTGAAATGTATGAAATATTACAGGTTACAATCCCAACAAATTGCTGTTAACTGTTCATATATTTTCAATGATTATTAAACCTACAGAAGGTTACACAAGTGCTAGCCTTTAAACTTATCTTTGTTTCCCCTCCATGCCAGTTTGGGAAGAGTAAGTATTTGCAGGCAGTTTAATAGGTAGGTAGGTAAGGGAAATATTTTTTTGTTTTCCATAACATTTTTATTGAACATTTTTTTTTTTTATTTATATGGATTTCAAAAATTGTGTTACATGTATGTTTTGACGAGTTCAGAGTTTATATAGAACCGAAGTTTCACAACTTAACAGTATATTTACATGTCAGACAGATATAAACTGTTTGGGAAGCAGTGATTTTTGTGGGTAGGTAGTGGGAGGGGAAACAAACAATATTTTATTTTCAGCCTAGTTGATCATGTGTTTAAGCCCTACTGGCACTGATTTTTGACCTTCTTTAACAAAGGCTTATAAAAAGCCCTTTTCCAGTAGAAAATGTCTTTAAAATCATTCAGTTTTCCTCAAATATCTAAACTTAACACTAGCTTTTTTTACTCCCCAAATTAGCAATATTAATTCTTCCCAAAAATCAAGGGGCTAAAGCCTCTCCAATTTAGTAAGTAAAACCTTTTATTAAAAGCTTTTATTTTGATACAGTCAAAAATCCACTAATTTCCGCATTTAAACAATAACAATATAACAATTCCCTTAGCTCAAAGTCCTAAGCTCAAAACAAGGTCAATTATACACAAATTCAGCAATATAATGGTTCATATCATATTAAATTATGTGACATTTGACTCCTTTCATATCTTATACCAAAATTATCATATTTAAGAACTTTACACTCTTTTTATAAACACATGTAATACTATATCAACTAGTGTAAAAACTTAAAACATATACTTTACCAGGTAGTTCATACGGTGATTGTGCAACATCTTTTCCATTGAATGTGACACTGATTTTCACGTTTTCAAGAGTGCTGAAAATACGGAATCTGACGATGTACATTCCATCTTGTTTGTCGAGTACCTGTAAATATACTCGCACTCTATTCTGACCAGCTGAGCTAAGTGATACTTCAAACGGTTTCTCCCCTATGGATTCTGTTATGCTGAAATATATCATAAATGCATTGTGTAACATGTATTTATAGCGCGGAAAAAAGAATGAAGCGTTGCCTTTTCCGATTTACATTTGCAATTATTTATTAACAAAACTAGTATTATGATAATTAAGGAAAAATATCTACCTGGTTCACCTGTTAAATGGGTCTTCAAGATGTATTTATATGTATACAACAATATTATTGTAAATAATAAAGTATTTTGTTTTGACTGCTTAAAGATTTATATAATAATGAAAGTGTTAGCAGATACAGAACAAAACATTTTTGTTTTTTTTAAACAAAGACTGTTGATACTACGTAGAAAAAAGAATTTCAGAATTTTCTGGCTCATTCAGAGATTTTTTACTTTTTAATTAAATTTATGTCTTTGAAATTGAGAAAATTTAGCACAGTAACCAAAAGGAATAGACATTGTTATGGCATATTTAACAAAACCTTTTAAAACATTCACTTTTTATTTGGATGACAATAAACATGATAATATTATTGTCCTTTTCATAAAAATTCATATCTGCCAAGAATAGTTGAGCTGTTTGGAAAAATCCTCCACAATGTTCAGGAAAGGTATTAAATTGGAAATATTTTAACAGTTTTGTGAATTAGGATCACTTTCATTCCAAAAAATAATTTTATGTATTTTAGTAGCCAAACATTTTCAGTGTTTATCAAATGCTGAAAAATAGCATGTTTAACTGACTGCATGAGTACTTAAATCATTAATACGTAAACTTTTATCTGGAAATGTTACATTGTTTCAGCCCATATTAAGTTATTTCAATCATATAAACATGTACACGTAGACCAAACATAATTATAACGCACAAACACACAAAAAAATCAACATATAATTTGCATTTGTGATATAAAATATCCATGTGATAAGAAATAATTGAACAGCTGCTGTCTTTAAAGTAAAACATATTTAGTTTATATATAAGTCTCATTACCTTTATTTGCTTTGATAATAGAAATGTTTTCTAAAAAGCACTGTCAGACTGTTTATAATTTCAATGTTTTTTAATATAGAATCAGGGCAGCCAGCCTGCATATCTCTGTACAGTCTTTCCAAATTCTATCCCCTTAAACTGACAATGGACAGATCTATTTTTAAAAGCAGGACAAATTCAGCTGGGAGAAGGGTAAAATACACAAAAATTTACTGATTCTTAAATATTTATGAAAGCCCAGTAAATAATGTATTGTCACTTGTCTAAAAACTTTTTTTTGTGTGTTTTTTTTTCTTCAGTCCATTAATTACAATCAGCTTCAACAAGCCTTTTAAAACAGTACATGTCCTGAAGCATTGTTTTTGTACATTAATATTTCTGTTTTGTCCTTTTACTTGACTGGTTATACACTTCCTGATTTATATACATGTATACAACCGTTTTAACTGCATATATTTATTATATAGTATGTCACTTAAGTTATAGGTGATCAAACAAGTGTTTTGATCAATTAATTTAATTAATTGCATGAATTTGTTTATGTAAAATCTGCAATACTTAAAAAATGTGTTTAAACATGATGTTGATACACACAATCATGTGGACAATTTTACAAATATGACCTAAATATAGAGAAAAATCTGATGTTTTTTTTTCTTGATCTGATTTTAACACCAATTCTTCTCTGATTTTTCAAAGATCACTTCATTGTACTTCAAATAATATTAATACAAGATTCAAGCCTTTTTTTTTCAAAAAATCGGATGGGAAACTGCAATATATTAATCATCTGATTTAACAGTTCAAAATAATATCTGAGGGGTAAACCCTTCTTTTATAGTAGGACCCAGCTGTTTACCTTTTACAAATCAATTAAGGTTGTCAGACAAGAATACAGAGTATTGTACACTGGCTCATATATTTGCACAGTCCATTACATAAATTTTATGTTAAAACACCCACCCAATAAAAAATTCTTTAACTTAGTTTTTCCTTACAATTCAATTTACATTTAGATTTTTCTTCCCCTTGTGCAAAAAACCATACATTTTTTGGGTCAATCCTCTATTTGAGAAAAAAAACTGATTTGAGTTCTCAAAATGTTAAGCCCAGGAAACTAAGAGAAAGTGAATGACTATAGGTATATTTTATCTTTATTGTCCTTCTTTATTACATGGTTTATCCCTGTTACTAGGTTGTACTTGAGTGAAAATTTTTATGTACTATCTATTTAGGAGTCACACAAGAATTGCCTATGGATCAATATTATTGGCTTGATTAAGTTATTTTTTAAGTCTAAATTTATTCTCCCCCACCCCAACTTTTTTATATTAATCATTGTAGAGAACAATTATTCAAAGTTAAACTTAAAAATATTCAAGGACTTTTTCAGCAATTCAGTTTATATTGGGAGAAATTATACAACATTAATTTTGTGATATATGACCAATTTTAAATAGTTAAAAACCTATCTTTAATAGAGTCTCCTGCATTCAGCAGATATTGGCAAGAGAAAAATGCATTTCTTTTTATGGTGGGGGTGGGGACAGGGATTAAACATAGGATAAAAATATGAAACATGTACTTTTTAGGAGGAAAATAGCATCAGAATGAAAGTAAATGCATTTAGTGTTCATTTGCTTTATTTTTGAGCAAAAAATCTATTTACATACTAAAACATATCTGCTCAAAATGGAGTAACACTGTCTGACATTAATTCAAATTTTGACAAGTAGACATGAAATTGTTGAAAAGGAGTTGTTTTTGTTGTAGTACAAAGGAGTACTGTTGACATGAAAATATTTTAAGTAAATTTTGGTTGTTTCAATAAATTATACAAAAAATTGTCAGAATGGCCTTAATTAACTTTCTTTTTTACGCAATGAACTATGATATTTTCAATACATAGAATTATTTGTTAATCTAAACCGTTTTGAGAATTTACAAAACAAAGAAAGAATTGTGCCTTAATAAAAACAAACAGAAACATGTCCTGTACCTTACATAAATAGAAACAACAGATCTATGAATTCATTTTTTTTTTCCATTTATTAACTTAAAACAGATGTTTAATAAAGTCTTGAGAAATAGATTTGTTAGCAAAGTACATGAATATCACAAAGAGAGGGCAAGAATGGCTGTGAATTGTTCACCGGTACAAGAGTGTGTTGGAAAAAAGTTTATAAAGTAGTGAACAATTTGATGACTATCCATCTATAACTCATTAAGGTGAATATGTTAAAAGGCTTTTATTTTTAGCTATAGTAACCCCCTAAAAACAGACAACCTAAATTCCTTGTAGCAAGCTTGATAAAGACTTCAAAACCTAAATTTCTAATGATCATTTTGAATATTGTCTTAAAGATACTTCCTCCTTTTTTTTCCTATAAAAGAAATCAACCAGATTTTTTAATCAGACAAACATCTATAGATGCTGTAAAGTTATTATGATGATTTATTGTTTTTTCTCTTAGCTTAAGAGACCCTAAAAGGGCTGACTATGTTTCAGGGAAAGCTTCATAAAGTGCATTCAAACAAGGCTTTAGACCAAGTTTGATTATCATCCTATCAATTTGCTCATGCAAGAAGATGTTTAAAAGTGCTTCTGTTTTGTTTCTTCTTAGCTGAGGTGGCCCTTTAAAGAGAAATTACAGGATGTCAGGTCAACTCATCCTGCAGTCAACAAATTACAATTGTCACTTTTTTGGTCAACTTGTCACTACTTCATGTATATATCAGGCAAGATAAAATGGTTTTCTATGTCAGCAAATGATTTATATTCAAATTGAACTGAAATAGATTATGGCTGTTTTCAGGGCTTTTTTCATAGGTAGGGACAGGGGCCATTCCCTTTCCCTTTAATTTGGGGGAAAAAATACAGAAAAAAAGGAAGAAAAAACTATATGTTTATTTAATAAATTATATGGGAAAACTGCTTGATTTTAAAGATTTATTATGAGGGAGCAACCCCTAAACTGCCCCTGCTTTAGAAGTATTATTGAATTGAAATTGATTAAATTGAATAATTAATAAATTAAAGTGTGTAAATTGATTTGATCTTATAAGTTTTACAAATTTTCAATGACATGAAAACTGGGAAGACTTCAAGCATGCAATCAAGTACAAATAGGCCTCTTTTTTTATTAAAAAATAACAACAATAGAATGACACAAGACTGTGTTACTACATTATAAAATACAGAGAAGATTTCTTTGACAAATTCTAAAAAAATTTCTGAGTACTGTATCATTTTTTTTTAATTTGAAGGCATCAGTACAGTATAATCACCAATCATGTACATCAATATTATGCACTGCTATTTTATGGTTGAAATGAAACAATGTTGTACCACACAGTGGCTAAATACAAAAAGGTGTGATAATGTAACTATGATTAATCAAGAGACTTGAGTTTCTTGTAATTAAATAGCAGGCAAAACAGAAGAAAAAAATAAATAGGTAAATTACTTTCAAGAATATCTTTATAGTACAGGTTTTGGATTTAAGTATTGCAGCAAATTACCATGCAATAATTATAGGTCAAAATTATGAAACTTTTCTGATAATGTACATGTATCAATTATTTGAAATAAAAAGAATTGGAGTTGGGTGTCCAGTTGACAACGGGCAAGTTTACCAAGGGACAAGTTTACCTACATGTATTGACGCAAAACATTTACAGTAGGAGGATCACATATATGCAACATTGAAATTAAGCCAAAATGTTTTGACATACAAAGCTTAATTCAGATAATTTTGTTTAGGTCAGAATCTAGCTTCCACTAAGAAATGATACAGTCAAGGTTTAAATTTATCTTATACCAAAGTAAATAACAACGAAATAAAACAATAAGGCTTACTTATCTCCATTTTCAGAAACTGCCTGAATAAAAAAGTAACGAACTGGAAGGAAAAAATCCGATTCTAGTCCTGGACCCCATACACGGGTTTTCTGCAAATCAAGAACATGTTCGGTCTTCAGTGCAGACGATGTTTCTATACTTATGAGGAATACAAGCAAGCACGCAAACATATAAGTGTACATATTATTTCACGGTATTTTACTAAGTTAACATAAACAGTTATGTCACACATATGCAATTAAATACACGCCCAGTACACTTCACATGTAATGAAAGTTGAAACTACTGCAACAATCAGTATGTTTACATGGCACGATCTGATTATAATTATTTCAACCAATGAGAATAATGTTCTACTTCCTGGTTAAATTTCGTAGGTATTTATTTTCATATGAACTGAGTAGGACACGTACACCACAAGGGAAATATAAATTTTTAACATCTTTTAAAATGCAATACAAAACAATTATTCATTAATTTCCTATTAAACTGCCATTAAGTCGGGTAATTCCTAAAAAATCAGTGGTCACATCACTGCTGTTCTTCACTTGCGGGGACTTCGAGATGACGTGACATATGTGTCTACTTATTATTTGAAATCATCGTAATATAAACTTTATTTCCTCAAAGAGTAATCAATTTCCTAACATTTGGTACCAAGATTTTTATATTTTATGAAAATATGTTAGAGTTATGGAGTTCACATTTTGATGAGTGGTGAAATTGAGCGGCTAGTTGCATAGCTATACTAAATTTATATCATGAATATTATATCTTGTACTACAATCATATACGATGATATGTCTCAAAAAAGAAAAAGCCATGTACAGTAAACTTCACTCATAGCGAACACGGTTATAACGAACTTCCGGTTATAAGGAACAATTTATTTTAGCCCGAATTTGCCCTGCTTTCTTTAATATAAAAATATACGGTTATAGCAAACACGGTTATAAGGAATAATCGCTTATAAAGAACTCATTTCTTAGTCCCAATTTAATTAAAAGTACAGAAAATTACACTTTTATAACAAACTCCAAAATATCGGCTATCTGTAAATAAATCCCGCATTGTCAACTTTCATTTTCATTGGCAGGGATTTAAATCTCTACCGAACGAACCGTATATTGCTGTATGTACTAAAATTAATTTGTATAGCATTACGTAATAATTTTTTATTTAGGATATTTTTAGCATGATTTATTGTCACCAAGATAAAACGTTTTTTCCTTCTATTCTATTATATCTTTTCTTTAATAATTTTGTTCGAGTTTTTTTTTTTTTTTTTTTTTTGATGCGTTTATTTAAGGTCGCCGCCGGAAAGCCCATATGGGCGACCGTACACTCAAGTCGGGTCATCCTCGAGCGTCCCGCCGAGATTTTTCGTCGATTTTTTCCAGCTTTATTGGTGGAGGAAGACCCCAGGTGCCCCTCCGGACATTATTTCAGGCACGAGCGGGCACCTTGGTAGAACCACCGACCTTCCGTAAGCCAGCTGGATGGCTTCCTCACATGAAAGATTTCGACCCGAGTGAGGATCGAACCTACAGTGGTGAGGGACCTGTGATCTCAAGTCAACGACTTTAACCACTCGGCCACGGAGGCCCCCGTTGTTCGAGTAAAATAATAATGTCATTTATAATCGGTTTTCAACATAATTATGCATGCTTGCAAGCTCAATCCATTGAAAACTACAAAGTACGCTTGATTGAAATGAAAAGAAATCTATATCTATCATTAGTAAAAATCACCCTTAAAGCAGCACGCCTCCAGATTCATACTTATTTTCATAAAAACTTTGGAAATTTATTTAAAAGTAAAATAATGTGAGTTGAACAAATAAAGTAATTTACATATTGCAATCGGCACTAACAATTCATTAAAATTATCAAAAAGTTGTCAACATGCAAAAACAGCCCTTACTGCGTTAGTAACGCAGTAGAAATTTTTCTATCAAATACTCTTCAAAATGACGGACGATAGTAAGCAATGAGTTCGTTATATGTAAATCTGTTCGCTATAAAAACTCCTGATACAAGGAACTAATTCGCTATATGCTAACAAGGAACTCTGGATATAGGGAACAGATTTTGAATGTTCCGATGAGTTCGTTATAAGCGGAGATTACTGTATGTGATATTTAAAGGCATATGCTACATAAAAACACTGCAGTTTAGATTGTTCCAAAGGGAAAGTTTAGTTGCAGAGACTTTATTACAGATCTATGGTTGGTTTTGTTATAGAAAGGGTCAGCGCCAAACACCTGTCCTTTTTTCTAAAGTCGAGCGAGAAATCAGATCTAGGAAGTTTTGGTCGATTTGTCTAGCATTTTGATGCCTAATATATACTGATCAATATTGTTCCAAACTGGTGTAAGTACGGACCTTAATCTGGTGGGCAACAGATATTTAAGCATTTATATATGGCTAAATGGGAGTTTCCGATCCTTGTCAGTTAAGTTCTGTGGTGTTAGATATAAAAAGAACGCATATAGCAAGTTTACTGCTTAGTTTTATATGTGTCAAATTGGCTCTGAAACGCTGAAGAAATTATAATTAGTATATATAAGATCAATCGAAACACCTCGACGATTTTTATCCGGAATTTGAAACTCATTCCCAACCAAGCCTAGTTCTGAATAAAAGTTGAAAGTTGTATGAAAAGGCCGAGAAAATGTAATTGATCTCAGAGCCCATAATTGTTTGTATTTAGTAGTGTTTAACCCTCTATTAAGACCTTAGAATTAAAATGTTTTTATTTAATGCATTAATCAAACACATCTAGAACAGCGTACGTTTAACTTTACAATTATGTTTAAAAGATATCAATATATATCTGAAAATATGTAATATAATACAACTTTAGAAGAAAAAAATACGTAAATTTCGAAAACTATAGGCAATAAAAAAGCAGAGTTGTTTTTCAAATAGGAATTTCCCAAAATGTTTGATTACCCGTGCCAATTTCCAAAAGAAGAGCCGCATGCGCGTTTCAGTCTTTCTCGTAGGTTATCGTTTCCGACGCCATTATCGTTCTCCGAGACGAAAACGGGATTTCGCAAAATAATTCAACATCAGCAGCGGTAAACATAAACAAATAATTTTAATGAGTCGCTTGGCTTTCCAAGGGAATGTCAGTCACCACAAAAGAATTGTTTCGTTCATTTTACCCATAAATTTTAGGGTTTTTACCCAAACTACTAAAAGCTATTGATTTTTGAGGAAGAAAATGCAACTCAAACATTCTGATGAGATGCGCTTCTATTGAGTATGGGGTAGAAGTCTGACCATAATTTGACGGATCGATTGCCTATTTGACGGGGCAGTAAACTGAGATCCATTCCTTGAAGAAAAAAAAAATACAACTTTGATATATTCAGATATAGATTTTGTGTCATCCATATAATCCATAATATAGTAGTTGCACAAATTAAATTATCACTGATTATCTGCCATAAATAATGGCATAATCTGGACATTTTGTTATTAGGACTAATTATTTAATTAAAACACACTTTTTAATGATATGCATTATAATGGTTTTATTCACAAAACTATCAATTGTAGCTCATTTACTTTTCCTGTTATGCTTGCAGAATTTTTTAATGCAGCAATATTTTGAAGAAAATGTGTCACAATTTTTGTTGAGCCTGCTTTCAGTGAGCTGGATAGTCGCCACTTTTGGCATAAAGTTTGGTGTCTGTGTGTGCGCCCATTCTTGCATCCATCCTGATTTGTCTGGTTTCTATCTTGGTCATTCATGGAAGAACTGCAATATAAATTGATACACATGTTCACCATGATGGGGTGGTGTGTCGCATAACTTCCACATGCATGGAGGGATTTTAATATAATTGAGACAAATGTTCTCCAAAGTGAGGTGGAGTGTCATGCGAAAAATTCAGGTGTCCGTGGAAAAGGTCAAGGTCACACTTATGAGTCAAGTCAAATAACAAAATAAAACATTTATTTGCAAGTATAACTTCTAAATACATGGATGGATTTCAATATAAAAATATTCTCCGTGTTGAGATGAGTTGTCTTGCGCAAAATGAAGGTCAAGGTCACAACAGGTAAAAGGTCAAATAAAAATATTAAAATTTATTTGTTGGCGCCGCTCTTGGTCTTTCCTTAAGGATTTCAAAATAATTTTGGTACAGATGTTCACCATGACGGGATGGTGTGTCGCACACTAAACCCAGGTCTGCCATTCAAATGTCAAGGTCACACATCAGGGTCAGCGCAAAACCCGTGTCCAAAGCTTTACTTCCAAATGCATGGAGGGATTTTAATATAACTTGGGACAAATATTCTCCAAAGTGAGGCGGAGTGTCATGCGAAAAATTCGGGTGTCTGTGGTCAAGGTCACACTGTGGGATCAAAGGTCAAATAATGAAATAAAACATTCACTTGCATGAATTTTTATATATATAGATGGATTTTAATATAACTTCATACAAATATTCTCTATGTAATGTTGAGTTGTCTTGCCCAAAATGAAGGTCACGGTCACAAGAGGTCCAAGGTCAAATAGAAATATAAAAATTTGGTTGTCCGCACTGTATATTGCTTATGCTTTGAAGTATTATGCTTAATGGTCAGATGATTTTTGTCAAACCAGGGCTTTTTTTCCTTCTATAACAGGGGCGGATATAAGGCCCCTTCACAATTAAGAATTACATTTTTTTCACAAAGCGGCAGGAAAAAAAATCACAATTTCAAAAGAGATTTCATAAAATATAGGGACTTTGTCTTCGAAATACATTGTTTACCAATTGCAATAACACAGAAATAGTTTTAAACAAGTTAAATGTTTTTTGTGCATGTTAACCGGATTAATCTACCGACTTGAAGCAGATTTTACACAGGTCAGAAAATATAATCAACCGTTTCCGGTTTCAAAATGTCGCGAAATGCCAAGTAATATGTCATTTTTTTTCACAATTTTGTGACATATTGTGGCCCCTTCACAATTTTGACAAAAAATGCCCTGCAAACTCGCTTGCACTTGAGCTTGACAAAGTTGTCAAAATGGCTGTTCAGTGTTTGTGTGTGCTTGCATGCATCCAAACTTGTCCATGCCATAACTTCTTTGTGCATGGAGGAAGTTTCAAATAACATGAATCAAGTTTTTTAGGCACAAATGCTCATCATGTGCACATGAACCAGGTCAACAGATCAGAGGTCAAGGTCACCTAAGATGATGCAATATTAAGATTTTGCCTTGGGTATATAGAGGATCTGTTGCATACATCTCACCTATGTATATAATTATCTTCCTCATTGATCTGAAGCTTATAGGTTCATGTTTGAATTAAGACAAGCATGCTCATCATTCTGCCTCTGGGCATGTCTTATTACTAAAAAAAAAAGTACAAGAGCAACATTGGAAAAATAAGTATAAAATAAGCAATTTTAAAAAAAAATATCCTGAAACGTGGTGTAGCGAAAACCATTACTGTTGATACAATGTTACCTTGCAGTTACACAGATATGATATGATCACCTTCCCAGTATACATGTGTCAGATGGTATCTCTTTTTTTATTTGTTTAAAGGTTCAAGCAATTGAGGATGGCATCTGATACAGTGATGGCTAACAGTACCCCACAACTGGTACAAATTGCTGTATCGGGTCTCATGGACACTCATCCCGTGGATCATCTAGATTCTTCCTCTGATCATGATGGTTAGTGGAAGGACTTGTTGTTGTAATTTAAGATAAATATTGATTTAGATCACCATATATGTATTGTCTTTAGCAAAAGTTTAGCCTTTCATAAAAGCTATTTTTAAGTAATTACATGAATAATTATAGCCTTAATACTTATAACTTGTAACTTATAACTTGTAATATAATTTTTGTTAGCCTTACTAAGAATTGGTCATAAGCAAGTTCTGAGAATTGGTTCACAAACAGTTTTGTGGTATATTGCAGATACATGTGATGAGCCAGCTTTGAAACATCGCCGTGTAGATGTAGATTTTGATGTGAATTCTGGAACCTCTGTTAAGGTGAATTTTAAACACTTAAATATAGAAATATTTCAGTGTAATAACATGCTGTTTTTTCATTGTCATTTGTACTAAACTCACATTCAAATCAGTACCAGAATTAAGCATTTTCATAATTATGAGGAAGTAGGTGTCGGCATGCCAGCTATGGGGTTTAAACAATCATGTTTCCTCCTATTAAACAAGAATATTTACTGGTTAGTTTCTGGAAGTGTATTTACAGTGATTCAAATAACCAGTTATAGGCAAGCTTTATGATGCTTTAACATTATGATGTTTACACAGAACAGTTGTTTTAATTACTCTAATATTTATCGGTATTTATGTAATTAATCACCACACATACATTTTCTCCAGCAAATTTTGTTCAATATCAACAAAGCGATCTGTATGAGACTGGACTGTATTGAGAACTATTTGTCATCACTAAACACTCGGACCAGAGAAATAGAAGATAAAGTGGACCAACTTATGTCTATGTCAAAACAAAACAACAATGGTCAACAACAATCGGGTGCAATTAAAAAGGGGTATGTGAATAACATTTTAAATTGTCTTGTTCATGCTTATTAGTTTATCTTTCTTAAAAGGCTGAAGCAAAAAAAGCAGTGTTTTAAAAATTTTCTGAAATATTAAGCTAAAGGGAGGTAACTTCTGAATTTAGGAGGAATGTTAACTTGTATACACCTGAATGGCATATGCAACCAATAGAGAGCTTGGTTTGTCAGTATTTCTATGTAGCGTTATCAGACTATATATGGCTACATCATTCAAACTATTTTATGATATTAGCTCGACTATTTATTTAATAGTGAGAGCTATCCTGCTCACCTGGATGACTGCAAAACAAATATGGTTAAGTATTTCGTACCACCCTGCTCATATTATATACCCTTTGAGGTATTGTAACTGATAATGGTAGAGCATGCTGTTTAACACACAGCTCTTGCTTATACATGTATAGTCAGTATGGAATGTAAAATGAAGTGGATGTGAAATTGATATATTTATGTTTCTATTTGTAATGTTTAACAACTGGCAACCTTGTAGATGAAGGAGAAATTGCATGTAAAATCCTATTAGGTTAATGATTTTATCAGGAACTTGCTTATCCCAAAGTTAAAGTGCCTTTTGGGGTCTGGTACGGGAACAGTTTGTGAAATATTTATTTTTATTTATTGTTTCAGTAATGTTCTTTTTTCTTTAGAGCAATAGTTGTAGGACTACCACAGCACAATGGAAAAGCTAGTGGTGATGGGACTGGTATGTATTTATTATTCATATATAAAAATAATTACCTATCATATGAAACACATTACTTGATGATTACCTGGAATCTTGCATTCTGATTGGCTTAGGATGCAAAACAGGTTTTAAGCATATGCTTGGTCTTAACATAAAGACATCCTAATGGCTGATACTATGAAAATATACATATTTTTATAATTATGTATAGGTAATTGGGCATATATTTTAAAAATATTGTAATAACTTTAATAACACTTTATTTCATCATTTAGGAATGATTTCTTCCACTGATTGTTTTTGCTTTACTTTGTGTTTGTAGATGGAATGGAGTCCAATGCCTCACTGAACTCTGTAGACAGTATAGCAAGTCTAGGACCAAATGTTACATTGATAACACTAAACAGTGAAGGTATGTTGTCATAGAATAATTATTATCCCAAGTTAAAAATTATATCCAAAGTTTTAGGTGCATGATCTTTGGCTGTGTAGTTTAGGTCATGGATTTCAAACCACTTATGTCACATAGTTGTTGGTTCTAAGGACTTTAGCTTCTTTCATGTGAGGAAGCTATCCAGCTAGTTTACTGAATGCCGATGGTTCTACTTAAGTGCCCTCTTGAAAAAATGAATGTCAGGGCACCTGAGGTCTTCCTCCACCAGTAAAGCTGGAAAGTGGCCATATGACCTGAAAGTGTGTCTTAAAACCCAAATGAAATTCTCTGTTTCAAGGGTTTAGTTTTATTTACATAGAACAGCACAAACATTTATAAATATTATTATTTGAAGATTTATATATTTGTAAAAGACATCAGGTAAGTGATAGAGTTTTCCATAGTGTTATATTTCAGTATGATTTCTATTTTGTTTTAGAAAGTAGGGATATTTAAGTTACAAACCTATGCAAGTTATACTTTACTTTTGTGCATACAAATCCTGTGCAAGATATATGATTACTTCATATGAGAAAGTTGTAAGGCAAGTTTACAGAACAGAATCACACTGTGCATGAAATTATGCACAAAACGGATCCTTGGTTATCTTTGAGCGTAAAAGGTGGAAAATTGATATATGACTTTATTGCATGCATGTATGAAGATAAAAAAAATTTGATTGTAAATAGCAGATTCAAACAGTTTTTTTACAAACTTACGAAGCCTTTCATTTGTGCACCCACTAAACTACATGTTTATTAACTTGAAAATTAATTTATTAAACAAATTCAAGCAAGTTCTTGGAACTGAAATCTGATTTAAACTTAAAATACAGCAGGCATGTATATTTCTGGGAAACTGAGATTGTTTTGTTGTTTGATATGTGTATATATTTATTTTTATCATCATTGTAGAGGATTATCCAAATGGTACATGGCTGGGCGATGATAGTAACGTTGAGATGAGAGTAAGATGTGCTGTTACACCAAGGTACTTTATGTCTGAATTAAAGATATCTCATATCCGTTGAATTTGGTTGTGATAATTTTGTTATTAATTTACAGACTTAATTCAAAAGTGGACAAAACATCACTTTTGAATAATGTTGATATATAATTTAGATATGACATTTGAATGACCTTGACCATCAAGGTCAGATGATTGAGTATTGCTTATATTTTGTTATCTTTGTTACCTTTGTCATTTAACTATGGAAATGAGTTATACTTGGATGAAACAACAAATGTGATTAGACAGACCTATTAAAATAAAAAAAGGGAAAAAATACGATTTTTTTTTCTTTGATTTTCTGTTTTAAGATTTGTTTGCCTTTAGAAAAAGTCAAGCGTTGCCCCATGCCCGGCGGTGTCTCTTGTGAATTTTGGGTCAAATTATCAAGTAAGACAAATGTAATTTTGTTTGTTTGTGATCATTTGACATTGACTTTAAGCAAAAGCATTTTACATGTACATTGGTTTTTAATTAACTTGCATTACTTGGATTTCTGGTGTCAACAGATTGTGACATTTATATTTTTAGTGATTTACTTCATATACACTCCAACTGCCGGACACCAGAGAAGATGGCACTAACACTTCTAGATTACCTGTTTGACAGGGAAACACAGGCCATATCTAATCTATCTGGACTTGGTAAACATGGCAAAAAACAGCTTGATCCTTTAATGATTTATGGAATAAGATGTAAGTTTAGACACTTGTAGAAAATTTATAAATGATTGAAAATAATAAAGACTCAGATGCTTGGTAGATATTTAATGAAGCAAATTTTTAATGTTGTGCTGGTGAAAAAAAAATGTTGCCCCTTTATCTTAATAAGGTTACTGGACCTATTATTAATAAATAAATTTTCTAAGCTCAAACTTAGGTATTTGATTGATCCAAATCCAGCACTGAATGAACACTCACTAATGAAAAATTCGGAGATTCGAGGCAGAGCTGAGATGAAAGTTTTATAACCTTGAGGCCTTGTCTGTCATGATCATTTATTCAAATTCTGTAAGTGATTTAGATTTCGCACTTTTAAAGCCAGAAAGATCAGGGCTGCCAACAGCAAATTTCAAAATCAGCGGAAAATACGCCGGGGGTCAAGGGGGCTGCGCAAGCCCCCTTTGCAGGTCCTGGATTCTGATGATTTGGTATGCCCTAAAATCAATTTCCTGGACTCTAAATTTGACAAATATCCGACATTTTGACGCATTTTGACAACAGACAAGAGCGACAATGTAAACTGTAATTTGATTGGTTATTCTAAAATAGAATGCCGGAAAAGACTCGATATGACCAATGAGAAAAGCGCTTACAGACGTACCATAGGCGGCTAGTGTAAGGATAAAAGCCGAAGCGTGCCGGTTTTTGGGTACTGTATAAAATATGACAAATGAATTTATTGTCTTTGTCGAATTTACATCGATCTCAAAAATGACCCAGCTCACGAAATCCGCGGCTTTCCGCGGATCCGCGGAAAATCGGCAGCCCTGAAAGATGTCGTAATTTTCATTTGGCTTTAAAAAAGGCGATTTTCTGATGACAAATATTCAACAAAGTATTATTATTTTCAGGTCACCTTATTCACAGATTTCAAATCACAGAAAATGACTGGCATAGAATAAAACAGAATATAGACTCAAAGTGTCGGACAGCATTCCGACGACGTCAGCGAGGCATGCCACTGACGGTGAAAGCGTTCCGCGGGAAGGCGTTATCCGGATATAATTCATTAATGCCAGGAGAAATGATGAGTGACGATGATTCTATCGGTCAAGATGATACCCTTCATATACATCAAGGCAATGTAGGTTTTGCTCCATTCTTTTTAAGGATTCTTCCATTTTGAACAAGTTTTTATCAATCTTCTTGGCAAACAATAATTAAATTTTCATCTGTGGCTGAGTGGTCAAGGTTACTGACTTCAAAACACTTGAATCCCACCAGTGACTGGATTGCGCCATGCGAGTGGCCTGCTTATGCCTGAGATAATGCACAGAGGAGCACTTGAGGCATTACTTAATAAGTAAAACTGGAAAGTCCACATATGACATTAATAGTGTCAGTGTAGCCTAAAACTTACCATGAAAAATCATCTTGTTGTGCCGAAATTCATAATAAACAGTTATAAAAGGTTAGCAAGACAAGTCTTTTTTCAGCAATTCTTCAAATATGGGTTATAAAGTGTGAAAAATGTGTTCATTTCAGAGTCATGATGTGTATTTACAAGGTGATTTAGACAGTCAGCACGGCGTGCCTATGCAAGGTGATGGTTTACAAGGTGAGGTACAGATACTTCACGCCACACCAGAACAGATCTCACAATTACAACATGCTCAACATATACAAATCCTGCAAGGAGACCAAGTTATACAAGTTCCAGTGCCAGTAAGTATAAATATATTGAATGGTCATAAAATTATCCATGATTGTAAAATAAGAGACCTTGTGGTTTAGTTTTCAGTCTTTCAATCTGATTAGTTTGGGGAAGAGCCTTATTTGTTCTCAACCATGTTTTCTCAGACTGGTTTTATTTCCAGGAAGAAGAATAGACATATTGTCACTTAGTGCAGTAACGGGTTAAGTCCTTCTAAATGTAATAGGAGTTAACAATTTATTGCACTAAGGTGACGTTATAACCTCCAAATTTTTTTTTCACAATCATGCATTAATAATTTATGTTTGAAACTAAAAAATTAAAAACTAGAAAATTAAAATTTAACTGGAGGTATAATATCAATATATACATATTACAGTATTTAAGTTATTTCTTAAAGCTTTTAGTTTAGGATGAAATTTATTTTTTATTTTACAGCACAATATCCAACAGTTAAATGCCTCTGATCTCCCGGAAGGTCTACAGGTAGCTGTGTCAGCAGTCTCGTTACCCCAGATGTCAGACACCTCCCCACAATACACGGAACTGAAGGGGGAAAACGTAGTGACACACGAGCATAACCAATGACAATTAACCTTGTCAGACTGTCTTGATGATTCGTCACCTCAAGTTTGACGCCACACAACTTAGTTGGTTCTATTTATAAAAAAAAAAAAAAAAACATTGCTGCAATGCAATTATGAAAAGTAATGGATGACTTTTCAAATAGGGTAATGGACTTCTGGTGTAGAAGTTTTGGTTTCTGGTGAACAGCATATCATATTGATATAGACTTACTGGGATAGTTTTGATATTGAAGGTATAAAATGGGGTAGTTTACTTGCCTTCCTTATGAAAGGCTGAAGGAGTTGATGGATTAGAATTGTCACAGATATACATACACTCCGTGGAATTGTAAAGTTTAGTTTATATACATTAACTATATATTATAGATGTAAATGCCATAAAAGTCTTTCTCATTTCAAATATGTGTTCTGTTAATGTGTCAGACTAGGTGCCTTTGATAGCTTGGGTAAATTTCTTTGATAGACAGTTAGACTTTCATAAAAGGAGATTATCTTGATTTTACATTTGTGACAACCCTGAACAACCCCGGTTATATTGTAGAATGATTAATCAGAACAATTGTTTAAGCAACCATTTGTATATTTTATTATCAAATTATTGAAGTAATCTAATGGGTCTAGCCTTATTCAAAGTATTGACCTTTTGAAAGCATGCAGCCTTAATGTACATTAACATTTGTGTTTACATGTATGTCTAAAATGCCCTATTTATAATTTTTTGGACCTGAGGAAAGTATTTTCCTCAGTAGATATAACTTTTATCAGGTCTTAAAAATCATATATTGACTGAAACATAAGTTTACAATCAACATATGGTATAGCTACATGTATAACGTGGTATATGTTTACCTTTAGAAAGAAAAGCACATTGTGACACATCTTATTTGGTGGTCATGTGACATCAGTGTTAATCAGCCAATCAGAATGGTGCTTTTATTAACTGTATGATATTAACTTTCCTGTGCCATCTGTATTCAGATGGGCAAGCTGCATGTATTTTAAGCAATTCATTATATATTTAATGTATGATCTTCATTGAATTCATTATTTATGATACATTGTAGTGTTAATGGTAGTCAAAAGTGGCTAAAACCACATTACACATTTGAAAATATCTTGATCAGTTTGATAAATTAAACACAAAACTGAAGTTATAATAAAGGCTTGCCTGCTTGTGCCTGATATATTGCATGAATGGGCACTGGGAGGCACTTCCACCATATCAAAACTTTCTAGAGCTTTAATAAAATTTACACGTGACTTGGAACCAAACAAAATAAATACGAAAAGAAAGTTACAAGTACAGTTTTTTACCAATCTCATTAAAATCATATTCTCACTGTCGCTCCACTACCCTTCATAGTGAAGAGTAACAGAGTGAAAACGATGATCTGATTTTAATGAGATTGATTTTTTGACATTTATATTGTAAATTTCACCAGTTTGAGCTTTACATTCATTTATTTATTATTCTTTGTATAAATTATTTTCTCTTTTTTTTGAAAGCGAATAATTGAAAACTCATTTATTCCATGGTATTGTTATGTTAGAAATTCTCTAACAGGGCAAAGAAACGTGTTTTGTGTATTTTATTATTGAAATTTAATATTAGTTGATTCTTGTAATTTTATTGTTATTTATTTTTGTTAATGATGTAAATTATGACAATGTTTGCAAACTTATGATAAAGTAGGAAAATATGTTTATGGTTTTTATCATGTTAGATATATACACACATGTACTGTTATTAGAAAAAAATTGTTGTTATAATGAATGCCCTACTATTTGTCAAAGGCCTGCATTACATTTGATAGATACAAAAAATTGAATATACTCTGCAAACTAGTGTTATGAAACTTTGGTGCATTTATCATTCAAGAAATGGATGGATTTCAAAAAAGAAGTGCTGATACTTTCATGTTGTATGCTTAGTAAAATACATTGTATATAAATAGATGTTAATAGCATTAACTCTAATTGTTTGTGGTAATAAAAAAGCTTTTGCTGCAAGTTTTGAGTTTGGCAAATCTGCAAGTCTGACAATACTCTATACTGCTAGTCTGCTGGCTTAGCTCATAAGGGAGAGCATTGGATTTAAGATCCAGGGGTTACTTGTTTGCTCCTCAGTCATGTGGAATTATCATTAGTAGTCGGTCACTTGCCTAAAACAGGTTCTTACTGGTTAATTATCTAAGAAAGCTGATTAGTTTGACTTATGGCAGAGATATGATCAAATTTTTGTTTAAAGCGATGTAAAATTCCTCACTCCTAAATAAAAAACCAGACAAACTAACAAAACTCTACTGCTGGTTAGATCTACTGCTGGTTAGATAGGCATTTTCATATTCTAAATTTCATGCATGTGCTTACAGCTTTGGTTTTTTACGGGCAGAAAAAATAAATGTAGAACTTATAATGTATGCAAAGGACAGCAGTACAATTCATCAGTGCACAAAAAAAAATCAGTTGTTTATTGTACAAGAATGGTTTTGAAAGAATGAAAACAAACTGTTAAAAAGCATTAACATATTTTTCATATGGATTAAATATGATTTTGTTACTATGGATTTTAATAGCAACAAATAAAAAATGAAAAGAATTAAAAATGGTTGTTGTTAATCTTTTAAATAGTTAATCTTGTATATGTATGCTATGTGAACGTAAAAGGTAATATGATAATGATCATTTCAAAGAAAAAGAAATTGATTAATCAAAAAGGAAGCTATTGTTGGTTTTGAGAAATCAAGTCTTAATACATTTGTCTTCAATAATCAGAAAAAGTTATCAAATAAATGATATGCTAAGTTCAGATAGCAAAATCTTAAGTGGTTCCTTAATTTATACTTCGATGTTCAAAGGTTTTGTATATCCAAGTAATGAAAAAATCATTAAACAATGAAATTGTCAGTGTTTGTAATATAAGAGGATTGAATACCAGTTTAAAATAAGTAAGTCAAATAAAGGGGCTTATGAGGACAAACATAAAAATTTCTACCTGAATTAGAATATGACAAATAAAATGCAGTGTGTTAATCGAATTTCATTCACTGTTACTTGCGCCAAATACAACTATAACTGAGGAATAGAGCTATAGTAGTTTGCAATATCAGAATATCTTATAAAGGGTAAATATGATAAATGGATGCTTAGTCTGTAATATGAGACTGATTATATAAATGTATACATGTGCATCCTTAGAAAATAGTACAACAGTTCTTCAGTTTATTTTCAGTATTAAACTTGTAGTCGTAGAACACACTTGTGTCTCTTATTTCTCATTAGAGTTCTACATTGCCTACTTGTGATAAACTCATATACAAAAGCACAATATAACTTTTTCAACCTGTCATTTTGTTGTTAAATGACGACTCAATTTACTTTTTGATAAGTAACATGATTATGTAACCAGTTGATAATTTGAAAAAAAAAATGTCTATGAGCCCGAGGCTCTAATATTACAGTATGTACAGATAATGAATATATCAGTAATTTAAAGGCTACTGGATAAGCTGTTTACTATGTAGGATGACACATTGTCTTTGATATTAATATATAATAAAAAAGTGTAATTATTTCATAATCATCTTTAAAATCACAATAATTAATTGACAAAAACTAAAGGCCTGCAAATTTATCCACCAACTGGTGTATTTTTCTTCATTTATTATAACCTGACAAAACTGGATGTAACCAGTTATACAGACAAACTTATGTAACTTTCTATAATTCTTGTTTGGTTGCCAAAGGTAGATTGTAGATCATAACGCAAAAATCCACAGGTAAGTAAACGTGATGTGCCGCACAGTAAACTTGTATATTTCTCTCTGCAATACGCAATCTGTCTTTAAATGGTATTTTAATGATACATTGCATTAGTATTGAAAGTTAGTAAATTTTTTAAGTTTTATTTGCGTATATATATTCACGCATTTACATGGATCTATTTCCCCTATATTTCTGGATTGCCGACTATTCGGTGTATTGCGTTTTGGACACGTGGGATTGCATGTAGTCATTTCAGTTACGAAACATAAACAGTAATGGCGGCCTCCATGTGCATCAAAATTACGTAAAATATTTTCAATGCTTGTGCAAAATACGAGTGGAAATTGAATGTGAGCATCATCTAAAGCTTTTGCCTACTATTTTCAGAGGAAAATGTCTGCAGCTATTTAATTCGATTCTGGAAGAATCACGGGGAGACCCTTGTGAAAAATATTCTTTCAAACGAATCAAACGGCTCAAAATTAGGTGAGATTTTGTTTATTTAAACACGACTATAAACATTAACAGCATTAAAATTACTGCAAGAGTGATATTAAAATGATGTAAATTAAAGCAACCATCAAATAAAAACATGATTGTTATGAATGGTTGATAAGTTTTGAGATTTTCATGTAGAAAATAGAGGTAGCTACAAATTATCTCCCCTTATTTATTTTAAATTATTGTTATAATGCTAGTTGTCATAAATTAACTACTCTGTACTCATAATGTAATCAAGGAATTTATTGCACATCTTTTTTTTGAGTCGCTTCAACAGTGTACTGGTAACAAATAGGATCTACTCCTCAAAAACTACTGCATCATTTCTGCATTTTCTGGTTCAATGAATTTTGTTAGAGTTATGGCTCATTAATGTTTTTGAATTTTTAATTTTTATCTGGGATACTCCTCTTATTTATGTCTAAAGTAATTTCAATGAAACTCTTCAGCATTGATCATTGTTTTGCCATGTTAATGATTTTTATGCCCCCACAATGTGGGAGCATATAGCGTTGCACTTCTCCGTCCGTCCGTCAATACGTCAGTCCGTCCGTCCGTCAGTCCGTCCGTCCCGAAATCTTGTGAACGCAACTCCTCTTAAACCGGATGGCAGATTTTGCTTAAACTTACAGGGATGAACAACCTTAATGTGTAGATGGTAGTAAAGGAAGGAATTTTTGCTGCGACCAAATTTAACAGAATTATGGCCCTTTGTTCATTTTTTCACTAGATACTATGTAGAAATTTTGTGAACGCAACTCCTCTTAAACTGGATGGCAGAATTTGCTTAAACTTACAGGGATGAACAACCTTTATGTGTAGATGGTAGTAAAGGAAGGATTTTTTGCTGCGACCAAATTTAACAGAATTATGGCCCTTTGTTGATTTTTTCACTATATACTATGTAGAAATTTTGTGAACGCAACTCCTCTTAAACCGGATGGCAGATTTTGCTTAAACTTACAGGGATGAACAACCTTAATGTGTAGATGGTAGTAAAGGAAGGAATTTTTGCTGCGACCAAATTTAACAGAATTATGGCCCTTTGTCCATTTTTTCACTAGATACTATGTAGAAATTTTGTGAATGCAACTCCTCTTAAACTGGATGGCAGAATTTGCTTAAACTTACAGGGATGAACAACCTTTATGTGTAGATGGTAGTAAAGGAAGGATTTTTTGCTGCGACCAAATTTAACAGAATTATGGCCCTTTGTTGATTTTTTCACTATATACTATGTAGAAATTTTGTGAACGCAACTCCTCTTAAACCGGATGGCAGATTTTGCTTAAACTTACAGGGATGAACAACCTTCAGGTGTAGATGGTAGTAAAGGAAGGAATTTTCGCTGCGACCAAATTTTACAGATTTATGGCCCTTTGTTGATTTTTTCACTATATACTATGTAGAAATTTTGTGAATGCAACTCCTCTTAAAACGGATAGCAGATTTTGCTTAAACTTCCAGGACTAAACAACCTTAATGTGTAGATGGTAATAAAGAAAGGAATTTTTGCTGCAACCAAATTTAACAGAATTATGGCCCTTTTTTGATTGTTTCATTATATACTATGTTTAAATTTTGTGAATGCAACTCCTCTTAAACCGGATGGCAGATTTTGCTTAAACTTCCAGGGATTAACAACCTTAATGTGTAGATGGTAGTAAAGGAAGGAATTTTTGCTGCGACCAAATTTAACAGAATTATGGCCCTTTGTTGATTTTTAGTTTTCAACTTGTGGCACATGTAGTCCAAAAAATATTTGACCTAGAGTCATAAGATTGACAGAACAGTGGCGTGTGGGGGCATCCGTGTCCTATGGACACATTTCTAGTTGTGTCTCCTGCTACACAGTATAGCTGCAACATTCAATTGGCAATCATGAGGAGACACATGTGATCATTTATTACTCTTGGTGCATTTTATTGTTTCTTTAAACAACATGAAAAATACTGTATGATATTAAGACAATATAGATGCAATCATCAGACCGACATGTCTTGAAGGGTTGATAAATTTTGTGATTTTCATGTTTAACTGTAGGAAAACTAAAAATTACAAATTTTCTCCATGATTTGCTAGATGTCATTTTATTGTGGAAAAACTAAAATTATCTCCCATGATTTAGAATGCTAGATGTCATTATATTATAAGCGCTTGGTACTCATAATTATTATGTCATTATATTATAAGTGCAGTCAATGAATTTAAGATTTTGAATTTACTAGCCCGAATTCCAGTTTTGAATTTATTCTACATATATTTAAGTAATTTTCTTAAAATTTTCACTGATCCGAACCATTTTTCACTAGCCATGGGCCACCGGGCAAGTGCTAAATTCAATGACTGTAAGTGATCTGCATTCATTATAATGAAATTAAGGAATTTATTTCCTCTCACAATCATTTTTTGATGGAAAAATTAAAAGGGTCAGCTCGGTCCTGTACTAACTTGGAACAGGTCAACTTGACCATATAATAAAAACCTATTCAGATATAGATTGTTTAGTTCATTGACTTTTAAAGGAGATTGTTTTAGGGCTTCGTTGACCCATATTATTTTTGACCTGCAGGCATGTCTAAGTCCTTGCCAGGTGTTCTTTGCTACTCTCAGGAAAGCTTAGAATTCACAAGATCATTTGACCTTTATAATTTTCATATTTCACTCTAGAATGTTTGGCAATTTGTTTAAAGCTATAATCATATAATGGGGGTCTGAATTTATCAGATTTGAATTATATTAAGTTTATTTAATTAAAAAAGTCCAACTGGCCTATAAGAAATGAAGTCTCTGTGGCCAGGTGACTTGTCTGAGACGCTGAATCGGTGCCTTGATTGGGATGAAACAGAATAGATTGGTAGTGTCCATCTATATGATCTGAAGTGTGATATTTTTATGTGCAGGACATCACTTGCTGCTCACTTCTGGGGGTTTCACCGTTTGAATCCCTTCATGAGTCTGGATTCTTTCATATAAGAAACTATCCAGCTAGTATTCGGAACATTTGTTGTTCTACTCTGGTGCCTGTGCAATCATGCCTAAAATAATGCACCAAGGTTCCTCCACCACTGAAACTGAAAAGTGGCCATACTACCTTTACAATTGTCAACGTGACTAAAACCAAAAAACAAAAAAAAGAAAAGAAAGAAAGAGAAGTAATTGTGTTATACCATGTATACATTGTAATATTCAATTTTATTTCTATTGTAGAAATATGATTTCAAAACTCATTGCCAAATACCCTGTGATCAAAACTATGAGTGCATATTTTTGTATCAACGTGGCTGCAGACTTCAATGAACAGGTGTTATTTAAAGGGCGCACAAGAGAAACATATGACCGTGGTAAAACTGCAAGAATTGCCGCCACTTGCACCTTCGTCACTTCACCCATAATGTTTGTTTGGATCCGATTTATAGATAAGTAAGTTTTAGTTTTGGATTTTTATCATCTTTCAAGATCTTTCAATTTAAATCAGTATTTACTATTATAACAATCAAAGTTAAGTTCTGAGTTTTCATTTTGAAGAAAAATATATTTCAATTCCTGTTCAAACAAGTGGTATAAATTTTAGTATAAGAGATGTTTGGCATGGCACTGTTTCTCATATACATTGTATAAATTAAACTATTTTCCAGGGCTATACCAGGCAAAGCTTTGTTATCTGTCATGAAAAAAGTGCTCTCTGATGCTTGTTTTTTCGCACCTTGTATCATCTCTACATTTTATATCAGTAAGTGAAACTTTCATTGTGTTGATTATTTTGTCTGTAATAATATAAGGGCTAATCACCTTAAGGTATTAGGACCCTAATGGGCACTATCAGGAACTAAAAAATTGACATCATAAGTCAGATGTATACCTTAAAGTACACCTGTATGCAAAATTTAAACAGAGTTTACCGTACGGAAATCAAGTTATGGCCACTTTTCTGAACTCAAGCTAGGATGTTATGAGGGCCCTTTTTTAGAAAGTAGGCACCTTTAAATACTCTGCAATAGCATTCTAATGAAAAATGTTTTCCCATTAATTCTTGGTAAGAAACAAATAGTACTATTCAGCTAACAATCCAAATAAGCAAAATTATGGTTTCTACTTAAAATTTATGAAATCTGTATAAAAATGTTACCCTACCCCACCCATTTTTACCACGTGTCTGACCATTTCTCTACTTAGGGAGCCTAATTTAAAAAATTCTTAAAATTTACCCAAATGAGTGCCTGTTTTCAAAGTTTCCCTAAATTTTTAAAAAAGTATATTGGTTGATCTTGTAAATTATGAAATACTAAAATTTTACCGTCTAGTTTTGATTATATTACACTTTGAAAATATCAGGTACCCTATTTATTACTAGATTTAGCATAATTTAGCCAATAAATACCTATGTAAATTAAAAAATCAAAATTAAACACTTTTTTCTTTCCAAATGGGACATGAGAGATACATAAATAATGTTAAAAGAAAAAAAGAAAGAAAAAAAAAAGTTGACCCTTCTGGGGATTGAACCCATGGCCCTCATTTTCAATGTAGTTAACAGTAGTTCTAGCCTATTTGAATACTCTTCAAAGCGGAGGTAATGTATTAGGGTGCTAATACCTTAAATAGTAATCACTCTGGATTTTGTGTGGTTCCTGCAGTGTTAATGTTAAGAATTGTCTTAGGTATAAAAAAAAATTGTGTTTGCATCCTTGGTAACAGTTTTAAGAAATTTACATTTAGTCAAAACTCTTTTCATTTACAGGAACTTCACTGAGGTGGACTGAATTTTTTTCCAAGATTTGTATACCATTATTTGATGTACCGGTCTGAATTGATAACTTGTGTGCACATTGTCAGATCATTCACTCTGACTTACATCTTTTTCTCAGAATGATAAATTTAACTTGCACATAATGATCCAAAAATAAAAGCACTACAATGCTTTGCACTGAAATCATACTAAGAATTGCATCAAATATCGATTTTCAAGTTAATTCTTAGTACATTTCTTTGTAATTAATTGCAAATTTTTCCATTTAATGTTTTTCACTAGCTATATACATGTATAAACATTTTAGATTTTTTTGGTCATAACCTCAGTATAGCTTAGACTGTATTGTCATAATTGCACAATGAAAATGATTTTTGAAAAACTGTGTGAGTGAATGATAAGAAATTTTTTCATTAAGACCTACATCAAATATTTTAAAAAGCCACATAACCGTCATTTGTGTTCCTTTAAATATGAATTATAACTTTTGATGCTGAGAAAAGCTTAAATTTTATATGAATTTGTGATTTTTAGCTCGACTTTTCTATGAAAAGGGGAGCTATCCTACTCGCCCCGGCGTCGGCGTCGGCGTCACACCTTGGTTAAGTTTTTCGTACCACCCCACTTTATTTCAGAAGTATTACAAGTATGGCTTTGAAACTTACCATACTTGTTCACCATCATAACCTCCATCTACAGACAAGAGTACATAACTCTGTCAAGGTTTTTGACAGAATTATGGCCCTTTTTTGACTTAGAAAGTGTATTGAGCTTGGTTAAGTTTTTTGTACCACCTCACTTTATTTCAAAACCATTGGAGGTATTGCTTTGAAACTGACCATACTTGGTTTACCATCACGACCTTCATCAACAGACAAGAGGACATAACTCTGTCAAGGTTTTTGACAGAATTATGCCCCTTTTTGACTTAGAAAATACATTGAATATGGGTAAAATCCACTTATTGCCTTAACCCTTTGAGATATTGCTTTGAAACTTTTTAATGCTATTTCACATCATTACCCCCATCTGTACGCAAGAGAAGGTAACTCTGTCAAGGATTTGTTTTAAAAATTAAGGCCTTTTATCGACTTAGAATCTTGGTTAAGTTTTTAGTACCAGTCCACTTTTTGACTGAACTGTTTGAGATATTAATTTGAAAGTTGGAATACTTGTTTACAATCATGATTCCCAAACATGTCCAGGAGAAGGTAATTCTGTCAAAGATTTTATTTGAATTATGGCCATTGTTCACTTTAAAAATACAGAGATTCTTGTATTGCCTTTTACTGCAAAAACTTTTTTTATTGGCAAGCAATAAAAAAGTCGAGCGCGCTGTCTTACGGACAGCTCTTGTTTTATTCTCTGTCAAGTACCAGTAAATGTTTAGAAATATTGAATAGTTTGATGTAACTGATTATGATTTAAGCATCATAGATTTTTATGTTAATGATAATATATAGATTATTATGATTTTTTCCTTCTTTTCAGCAACAAATATATTGGAAGGCAAAAAAGATCTTACAGAAGAATGGAAACAGAAATTTTATCCAACTTGGACAGTAAGTAAATTTTTTTTTAAATAACAATTCACTGAGGACATGCCTTTCAAAACTTCAAGGAATTACATTAAAAACAAACGAAACTGTTGTTAGAATGCAAAAATATTTAAAACAGAAAATTTCTTCATAAAGAGCTATAAAGGGGGATAAATCATGTTTAACATATTATTCATCTGACGTATGCAAATAAATACATGTATTTCATGGCTAAGAATGACTAATTTCATAATTAAGTGTAATATACTTATATAGTCTTTCAATCACAGCAATTATATTACTTTCTTAGGCTTATAAGGTAAAAATAATCATTACAATCAATTCCCCAAGCTGTAAGATTCACTCACACACAGTGAAATCATCTTTTCAATTTTTCTATCTGAGTTGTGTAAAGAATTTACCACCTTTTAATTTTCAGACTGGACTTTGCTACTGGCCTTTTGTACAGACTGTGAATTTTGCTTTAATTCCAATGAAATATAAAACTTGCCTTTATATGCCAACAGCTTCTTTCATCTGGATGAACTATCTTTGTTATATGAAAGACAAGGTATTGTTCTACATACTTTCAGTACCTTGTATTATTTGTTGTGTGTGAAAAAATTAAGTCATAGTCAATCAGACTTTTTATGCCAAATCATGGCAACAGTGATATAAGCAAAATCAAAATCTCACTTTGCATCTTAATAACACACTTTAATTGCTTATGGCATTAAAACAGACGTACACAATCAGACTACAGGCATATTTTATTGTGTCGCCTTGAAAAAGGCAATATATAGGGGTTACTTTTGTCGTCATTGTCGGCGTCCCCTTAAGCTTGTCCGGAGCATAACTCAGTCATTATAAGTCGAATTGACTTCAAACTTGGTATGCATGCTTCTTACAATGACCTGAAGTGCAGTGCACAAGAATCGGTACTCTGCACTTCTTATTTTTTGAGTTATTGCCCTTTGTTAATTTTCATACTTTATTTTTGTCCAGGCTATTTCTCCTATAGTATCAAATCTATGGACTTGAAACTTCATAGGATGATAGATCTCATTAAGAAGAAGTGCAGTGCACAAGAACTGGTACTCTGCATTTCTTATTTTTAGCTCACCTGTCACAAAGTGACAGGGTGAGCTTTTGTGATCGCTTTTCGTCCGTCGTCCGTCCGTCCGTCGTCCGTCCGTCGTCCGTCCGTCCGTCCGTAAACTTTTACTTTAAATGACATCTCCTCATAAACCACTAAGCCAATTTCATCCAAACTTCACAGGAATGTTCCTTTGGTGGTCACCTTTAAAAATTGTTCAAAGAATTTAATTCCATGCAGAACTCTGGTTGCCATGGCAACCGAAAGAAAAAACTTTAAATATCTTCTTTTAAAAAACCATAAGAGCTAGAGCTTAGATATTTGGCATGAAACATCTTCTAGTGAGTGTCTACCAAGTTTGTTCAAATAAAAGCCCTGGGGTCAAAATTGGCCCCGCCCCGGGGGGTCATTGATTTTCCCTATATGCATATAGTAAAAACTTAAAAATCTTCTTTTAAAGAACCCAAAGAGCTAGAGCTAAGATATTTAGCATGAAACATGTTCTAATGGGTGTCTACCAAGTTTGTTCAAATAAAAGCCCTGGGGTCAAAATTGGCCCCGCCCCGGGGGTCATTGATTTTCCCTTTATGCATATAGTAAAAACTTAAAAAAATCTTCTTTTAAAGAACTCAAAGAGCTAGAGCTTAGATATTTGGCATGAAACATCTTCTAGTGAGTGTCTACCAAGTTTGTTCAAATAAAAGCCCTGGGGTCAAAATTGGCCCCGCCCCGGGGGGTCATTGATTTTCCCTATATGCATATAGTAAAAACTTAAAAAATCTTCTTTTAAAGAACCCAAAGAGCTAGAGCTAAGATATTTAGCATGAAACATGTTCTAATGGGTGTCTACCAAGTTTGTTCAAATAAAAGCCCTGGGGTCAAAATTGGCCCCGCCCGGGGGTCATTGATTTTCCCTATATGCATATAGTAAAAACTTAAAAATCTTCTTTTAAAGAACTCAAAGAGCTAGAACTTAGATATTTGGCATGAAACATCTTCTAGTGTGTGTCTACCAAGTTTGTTCAAATAAAAGCCCTTGGGTCAAAATTGGCCCAGCCCCGGGGGGTCATTGATTTTCCCTATATGCATATAGTAAAAACTTAAAAAATCTTCTTTTAAAGGACCCAAAGAGCTAGAGCTAAGATATTTAGCATGAAACATGTTCTAATGGGTGTCTACCAAGTTTGTGCAAATAAAAGCCCTGGGGTCAAAATTGGCCCCGTCCCGGGGGGTCATTGATTTTCCCTATATGCATATAGTAAAAACTTAAAAATCTTCTTTTAAAAAACTCAAAGAGCTAGGGCTAAGATATTGAGCATCAAACATGTTCTAATAGGTGTCTACCAAGTTTGTTCAAATACAAGCCCAGGGGTCAAAATTGGCCCCGCCCCGGGGGTCATTGATTTTCTTTATATGTGTTTAGCAAAAACTTTAAATCTTCTTTGAAAAAACTTAAATAGTTAGAGTTTAGATATTAAGCATGAAACATCTTCTAGTAAGTGTCTACAAAGTTTGTTCAAATAAAAGCCCTGGGGTCAAAACTGGCCCGGCCCCAGGGGTGTCATTGTTTTTAACTATATGTGTATAGTAAAAACTTTAAAAAAATCTTGTTTTAAAAAGCCCAATGAGCTAGAGCTTAAATGTTTAGCATGAAACATCTTCTTATGGGTGTCTACCAAGTTTGTGCAAATAAAAGCCCTTGGGTTAAATTGGCCCTGCAAGGTTGGGGGGGGCCTATATACAGGTGAGCGACCTCAGGGCCATCATGGCCCTCTTGTTGAGTTATTGCCCTTTGTTAATTTTCATACTTTATTTTTGTCCGGGCCATTTCTCCTAAAGTATAAAAGCTATGGACTTGAAACTTCATAGGATGATAGATCTCATTAAGGAGAAGTGCAGTGCACAAGAACTAGTACTCTGCATTTCTTATTTTTTGAGTTATTGCCCTTTGTTTATTTTCATACTTTATTTTTGTCGAGGCCATTCTCCTTAAGTATAAAAGCTATGGACATGAAACTTCGTAGGATGATAGATCTCATTAAGAAGAAGTGCAGTGCCCAAGAACTGGGACTCTGCATTTCTTATTTTTTGAGTTATTGCCCTTGTTAATTTTCAAACTTTATTTTTGTCCAGGCCATTTCTCATAAATTATAAAAGCTTTAGACTTGAAACTTAGTAGGATGATAGATCTTATTGATAAGAATTGCAATGCACAGAAACTGCTGCTCTGCATTTCTTGTTTTTTGAGCTATTGCCCTTTGTTGATTTTCAAATATCGTTTTTTGTCCTGGCCATTTCTCCTAAACAATATTGTTCACAAGGCGACACATCCGACTCGGGGAGTTCTAGTTTGTTTAAAACCTAGCTTGTGTCAGTGTTAAAAGACATTAGCCAAACTTGGGCAATTATTACAGTAAGGCCTATTATATCGCCAAGCTTGTGGCAATGAAAACCAATTAAAATTAATACAACAAGGCTGGTTGGAATATTACCGGAATTGTGCCATCATTATATAGCTTGGCTTGTGGCAGTGATAACAGACTTATTCCATTGGTAAAGAGTAATATTTGTTGCTGTCATAACAAACTAATGCAAATTGTATAAAGCAAGGCTTGTGGCAACAATAATATACCTAGGATATCAGTATTGAGTGAGGCAAGTCTGCACATTTGTGCATGTAGATCAGTACTCATACTTTATGTATTTGCATTTTGATTCTGAAACCCAGAAAAAACAACCTTTTTTTTAACTGTTCAAAATTAAAACATTTTCCTTAATCTGAATTTAACTATACTACTTCAATGACATTTCCTATTTAGTTAAGCCTTTTTATTACATATTGTTTTATAACTGAAACAACTTGAAATGTAATAATCATGATGCTATGTTAAAGTCTTAAAAATAACTTGTCTGTAATATTTCTTTAAACTTCCTTAAATTTCTGATTTTTTCTTCTCACTTTTCAGAAAGTTATTCATGAAAACGAAGAGAAAGAAGAAAGTTCTATGCAACATACATGTAACAGTCCAGTGTCAAACAACTTGATGCCAGTTTTCCAAGATTCAGCAATAACTAACATTCCATTATCACTGACTGTTGTTCAAAACAAATATATTTATGTGAACTTGTCAGACTCCATGTGTTCAGAAAAGAGTGGCATTACTGAAAATGCTTCTATAGACTCATGTTCACAAAATTGTACCCTACAACCTTCAAATCCCCAAACTTCACAGCCGTCAGAAAATGGTGCCTCTTGTAATACTGATATTGGAGTCAAGTCTGGATTGATGTTTCAGTCACCAGACATTTTTACAATGGGAGTTATTCTTTGCCCTCATTGAAGAAAAGTTTTTAAATCATATATTTAATTTTTATTGGAGGATTGTTCTGACTATTTGCCATGTGCCAAAGATTTGTATTTAAATAAAATTCTTAACATTATTTGTGTTTTTAGTTTCTATATGACTTTAAGAGGTAAAATCCTGACATCTGGACAGGGAAGAATTGTGTATATAATATGTAAATCATCTTATAACATAAAGAGAAAATTTAAAGGATGATTTACAAAGCTGCATAGTACAATCATGTTGTAGTATAAACATATTTAAAGATCCTGTTACTCAATTTTTATGCTCCCCGGAAAATTTCGGGGGAGCATATAGTCGTCGCCTTGTCCGTCCGTCCGTTGTCTTGTCCGGAGCGTAACTTGAAAACCCTTGGAGATAATTTGTTGAAACTTCATACAGTGGTAGAGGGCATTGAGGGGTAGTGCAGTGTCAAAGAACCATAACTCTATTTTGCCCCGTTTTTGAATAATCTCCCCTTATAGAAAAATCTTGTCTGGGGCATAACTCTAAAACTATAAGAGATATCAACATGAAACTTTGTAGGTGAATAGATCTCAATGGGTAGATGTGCAGTGCATAAGAACAATAACTCTTTTTTTTCCTAATTTTGGAGTTATTGCCCTTTGTTAATTTTAACACTTTGAACTTTGTCCAGAACATAACTCTAAAACTATAAGAGATATCAAGATGAAACATTGTAGGTAGATAGATCTCATTGAGTAGAGGTGCAGTGCAAAAGAACCATAACTCTGTTAAGCCTCATTTTTGAATTATCTCCCCTTTTAGAAAAATCTTGTCCAGGACATAGCTGTAAAACTATAAGAGATATCAACATGAAACTTTGTAGGTAGATGTATCTCAATGGGTAGATGTGCAGTGCACAAGAACCATAACTTTGCCTTGCCTAATTCTGGAGTTATTGCCCTTTGTTTATTTTTACTTTTTGAAGTTGTCCAGGACATAACTCAGAAATCATAAGAGATATGATCAAGAAACTTTGTAGGTTGATAGATCACATTGATTAGAAGTGCAGTGCAAAGAACAGTAACTCTGCCTTGCCTAATTTTGGAATTATTGCACTTTGAACTTTTTTCAGGGACATAACTCTGAAACTACAAGAGATGTACTTTCCTGTGTCCAAAACCTATTCGGGGAGCATCACCCAGCTCAAACCAGGCTCTTGTTTGTGGTTTTATATCCTGAATATAATGCTCAAATGAATATTTATCAATATTGTAAGTTCCAAAAAGCATATTGGTAAAGATATTGCTGAATTTACATTTCATGTTAAAGGGAGGTAATTAGAAATTTATTTTTTCTATTAAGTCCAAGTCAAATTTTTCAATAAGAAATGGAGGCATATATTTTAATGATTACATATAATGTGAACAAATATTTGCAGTACATATTTTTACATATTCTACTATGTTTGAAAATTGTTTTAGAATCATAATTATATACACATATAAAATTTCACTTGAGTGTGGTAACAACATTAATTACATACAACACAGGATCAAATTTGAAGGAAATTCTTGCTTCCTTGAAATGACCAGTACTGGTGTCATGTGAGGACCAAAGTGTTGATAGGCAGACACCTTAACCACGAGTTCTCTGAACATAATGAAAGAATTTTATAACCTGCTTAGAGATCTTTTTAGAAGTTAAGTATAATTGAATTTGTAAAATAATTTTAGAAAAATATGATTTTACAAATATATTGTGTTTTATTCAGTAAACTTATTTAGAAAAATGGGATTTTTTAAGATGCATGGAAATTTCATGTTTGTATTGAAAATAAAAGTAGACCCTAATATTAAGCATAAACACACTCCAGGCCATAGCTGACCACACAATGGACATCAAAATTGACTTTAAAATCATACATTAGAAACTTCTTTTTTGTAAGAAGGTAAAAATGATTTGAAGTGCAATATCAGTACAGTAAGTAAGGAGAATGAATTCATGTAATACAGTAAATTTGCTCACTGCAAAATTGCTAATACATTTTTAAAAGCCTGCTTCTTCATAAGATGACTAGCTGGCAAGTAGATGAGCATTTTGTTTGTAAGAGTGACAATAAGTTGAAGATTATTTTGGTGTACACTGTTTCTTTTTCAAATAAATTTGTTATTTTTAGGGAAATTATCCCTCTAAAAGAAGTTTTGAAATAGAAGATATGCATTTAAATTGTGGCCATTACATGAAAAATTTCATAAAATACGTTATGGATTCATTTGGTCAAATTTGATTGAAATCTATATGCTATTTAGATAGAATATAATACAATAGCAAAATTGGCTATTCAGTCTTTAAAACTAGGTCACTGGGAGTGAATGTAAAGAAAACAAGATGGCCCTAAATCGCTCACCTGAACCATCAAACTCATCCGAGCAATTACCTAGACAAGCATCCTGACCAAGTTTCATGACAGTTGAGACAAAATTGTGACCACTACAGTTTTAACAAGGTTTTTCCATATTTTAGCAGTGTGACCTAGTTTTTGACCCCAGGTGACCCATATTCGAACTTGATCTTAAAATCATCAAACCAAACTTTCAGACCAATTTCCAGGATATTCGGATAGTAGCCACTAGAGTGTGAACAAGATTTTTTTCTTTTTTTAGCTCCTGTGACCTAGTTTTTCATCCGAGCTGACCCATGTTCAAACTCATCTGAGCAATTACCTAGACAAGCATCTTAACAAAGTTTGGTGACGATTGAGTAAAAATGTGACCTCTAGAGTTTAAAGAAGATGTTTCCATATTTGAGCAGTGTGACATAGTTTATGACCCCAGGGGACACATATTCGAATTTGATCTTAAAATCATCAAACCAAACTTTCAGACCAATTTCCAGGATATTTGGATCAAAACAGTAGCTACTAGAGTGTTAACAAGATTTTTCTATTTTTTAGCTCCCGTGACCTAGTTTTTCATCTGAGATGACCAATGTTCGAACTCATCAAAGCAATTACCTAGACAAGCATTCTGACAAAGTTTGATTATGATTGAGGCAAAAATGTGACCACTAGAGTGTTCACAAGGTTTTTCCATATTTGGGCAGTCTGACCTAGTTTTTGACCCCAGGTGATCCATATTCGACCTTGACCTAGAAATCATCAAAACAAACCTTCAGACAAATTACCAGGATAATTGGATCAAAACAGTAGCCACTAGAGTGTTAACAAGATTTTTCTATTTTAAGCTCCTGTGACCTAGTTTTTCATCCGAGATGACCAATGTTCGAACTCATCTGAGCAATTACCTAGACAAGCATCCTGCTAAAGTTTGATGATGATTAAGTCAAAAATGTGACCGCTAGAGCGTTAACGAACAAATGTGGACGGACGACGGACATTCAAAGATCGTAAAAGCTCATCCTGAGCAAGCTGAGCAAATCACAGTATTTTTTATATGCTACAATCCTGTCCCAATACGATAGCAAGTTAAACAAAATGTTGCATTTGATAAAAGAAAGGAAAAGTTTAAAAATGAACAATTTTAGGTAAAATAGAACTAGGTCACTTGGATAGATCCTGCGAAATTTTTACACAAATGATGTCAATCAAATGTTTACTGACAAATTTGGTATGAATTCTTACGTAGATATATATACATATGTATGCATGTAAGTACTATGAATGTTAAAGGCCACGCTAAAAAACGATAAAAATAATGACTAATGATATCAAAGGTCAGCATTAGTTTTGAAACAATGTAGGACGACAGTTATTACTGAGAGTCTAAAAGATGAACATCTCAAAACTGAGCATGGTCATTTCAGATCAAAGATTAGTTCTATAAAACCCTTGTTAAATTTATATTTTATTGGTTATGAATTTGGCCTGATATTAAAGAAGGCATTGTCAGTTATAAATATGATATACTAGTATATGAGATAGAATCAAGCTTTTCTTGCATGGAAAAGACGATAACACTTTGGCCAATCATAATAAAGCAACAACAGGATAGACCTGTATTCCAGGGGTTTCAGAATTTGCTCTTTTGTCAAGAAACTTATAAAATATGGCTAGATCCTTAGAAAACGTGTAAAGTATGATCAAAGAAGACTATTCCATGAATTATACAAAGCAGGTAATGTTGTAAATCTCTAAGTTGACTGTTGATGCAACTTTGCCAGATAAGATTTATTTCATTTAATGCCATGTTCAATTTTTCAAAAGTCGTTGTCTTAGCCAGACACTTATATTACAGAAAAAATAATTTATATGACTCTGTGTCTCAGCAGTATGCCTGACTAGTAGTATAGTTTGGTTTTAAACGTATTAAGATGAGCTCAATGGTGAAACAAGTTCTTACAACTTATATTCATCACTTTCGATGCCGCTTCATGGAAAGTGGTGGGTTTGCAGTATTAGTCTTACTCCCAGTGTTTCTGAATTATTTTATCTCTTATCATCTTGTTTCACTATTAACATTTTAACCATGACTATATAGAATACATTTTCAGTCTCACCATCCTAGCATGTTTATAATGCTTGGACTTTTCTTTCTTTAGCTTTTCTTTTCACCTTTTACTAACAATCCGACGTGCACTGAATTCCTGCCTTTAACACTCGTAAGAGGGGTTGGCAGTATCCAGAGATAGATAGACAAGATTACAAGATTTTTTATACAATACTGTCAGTACATAAGAACATGTGACATAAAATACAAAATTGTGAACATGTAACAACCGGAACACAGAAAAATACACATAATCACTGGAGAATAATTGACAATTATATTGTATCCGTTAAATACTAAATTCTTAATAATAATCGAAATTTATGCTTCTTTAACAAAATTTTCTAGGAGACTACAGTAATGATGCAAGATTACACTTATTATTTGCATGTTGTAATTTTATCTTGACAAAACAAAGCAAGGTTTTTTTTAAAGAAAAATGTGATTTGTTTTTACTATTCATAAGATATTCAAATTTCAATTTGACATTTCCACGTTTTTGTAAATTTCGAGTCTTTAAGGTACTAAAAAATCTTGGGTGTTCTTTATATCGACTTCCTGCGCATGCGCCCAAACCTTAAGGAAATCATGGCGATGATGGTGCAAACCGCTAACAGTTGACAGAAATAGTAAATATGGCTTTATCTAATGAGGTAAACAAAGTTTGGTTGTCAACTTATCAAAGAGAAACATGTATTTTAGTAAATGTCTTGCACATTTTGCATAGACATTGCTTATTGACTTCAATTTAAGGAGATGTACACCCTACGTTTACAAGTACAACACACCGGCGGCACTTGGCCAGTTGGGTTATGCGAGTCTTCACTCCCTCTCTTGATCTGCATTTGTTTACAGCATAGATGAATATATTAAGCAAACAATGGCTCAAATAACTTTATTCAATTATTATGACCCAGTCACAACTCTGAAAATTACTTGTGTTTCTCTAGAAAAAACTTGGTCAAGGTCTTGAAAAAATTTTAAGTTGCAGGTCATAGGGGAGGTCGAAGGACAGGGCAGACCGTACAAGGATGGACTGTATATTTGGACGGGGCGGACCATATTTTGGGACAGGGCGGACCGTGACTTGAGACGAGGCGGACTGTGCTTAATTTCAAATTATATATTGCTATTTCTTTATTTTTTTTATGTTTTGTATCAATGTCATCATAAACATATCATATATTTAAGCATTTTCATATTGAACGGATAATTATTAACAATTTGCCATGCAATTATAAGTATAAAATAGGTAGCGTCACATAGTTGGAATTAATTGGAAAAAAAATCCCATGTGTAAAACATATTTTCCTTTTGCGCTGATATTATGAAACTTGACAGAATTATCTTAATTGTAATTTTCTATACACCATTCTAAACATTTAAGCTGAATAAAAGAATAATGATAATTTATATTAGTTAAGTTGTTACTATAGGAAAACCAAGAAATGTGAACATGTATATCAATTCGCTAAACAGACAGCATCTTAATTAAGACAAAGCACAAAAACCATTTCTGATATAAATTAACTCGTCAGAAAAATAAAAGTTGAGGTGAAGTCAACCAGGAGCATGCAGTCAAAATTAATGACATTATTAGACAGGGCACTCGTTTGGCCATTTTTGGGGCCGAATATCGGCCCCATTCCCCTCTCAAAATCATATGTTTTTTTCCCCTATTTCAGTAAAAAATTCCCCTAAAAAAAAAATAAATAAATAAATTGTGGTGTTAATGTTTGATATTTAAGAAAAAGGTGATGTTTTGATTTCATACAAATAAAATATAGTTAACTTTCAATGGACTGAAAACTAAAATACAGTAGTCAACAACGCTTATGTTAAAACCGAAAGTAGCAGGAAGTGTACAGAAGGGAGGTAACTCCCGTAAAATTATTGACAAAATTAATGTGGCAGATTATCATCGTAGGAGTTTACCTTATATTCAATTTGTTTTAGAGAATATACATACATTGTCATACTTCTGCTAGAAAATAAACAAAACTGTTTTAATTTCTGTCTGTTGTTGTTGGAAAAAACGTATTTCTCTTGCATTTTCGTACTCAAATATTTTCGTACCAATTATTTCCGTACCCAGTTTTACAGTTTCATACAATTTCCTCTGAAACCAATACCTTCTTAGAAAAGTCAAAAAGCTTTCTTGTTTGTTTTATTTAATTTTTATTTCAGTTTTCATTGTTATAATTGTTCATTTCTAAAGAACAGACAGAAATATGTAGAAAATAGTTTAAGAACTGACCAGTGCAGATTGCAAAATAGTGTGATAAATTTTTAACATTAGAAATAAAGAAAACATTAATGACTATAATAGAAAATAATTTTGCTGTGTTTCCATAACTTGGGTACAAGTTAACATACCCTTGCCTAGGAAAATCTGCCTTTCCAAAGCTTGTTGCACTGAATCAATATTTTTTGTACAAGTTTACAGAGCTCCAGATAGCGTGCGTATAAGCGTAAAATACGCATAGAAAATCTAAAATACGCATCACTCTCAAAATTCGTGCGTCACAGTTACGCACAACAAAATGAAAATACGCTCGTATGTCAAAATTTATGCGTGAAAGAATAGAAGTGTAAACATTTGATATGTAGAAAGAAAATGTTTTGAGCATAAAAATACAATATATTTCCATTTTATTGCAATGAAAACTAAAAATTCTGTTATCAACAACGCATGTAAAAAACGAAAGTAGCAGGAAATACTATTAATGCTTTTAATATAACCCTTATGTTTTTCAGAATTTGCATTTTACCCCTCACTCTAGAATTTGAGTGGTATATTAACCCTTGGCCAAAAACACATATCTGGACCTCTGATTGATGTCTGAGTCAGTCAAGTGCAATAAGAAAACAAAAAAGAAAACAGTGAGATAGCCTACTTCAAGAACAACTTCATGTTATATGTTTTATTTGTTAGGTCTATAGTAATAAATATACTAGCTATTGTAAGTAATGGTAGGAAATAGTGCCAAGAGTTAGTGTAAAACCTAAATTTAAAGAACTCATATATGACTTAAAATTCCCCTTTTTGTCTTAAAATGACGCAAAATTCCCCTTTCTGAGGGTATGGGTACCTGTCCCCAAAAGTTGTCTAGTGCCCTGTTAGATAGAATAATCCAACAAGACACTTTTCACCAAAAAAAAATTCTTGATAGTTTCACAAGCCAATTGTGTCTAATATTAATAAGATGTGTTTATATGAATGTATGTTAATATGTAAATCAATCGGTATACATGCGGTTTTTGTGATTTACCGGTAAATTCAAATCAACTCGAAAAGCATGTCGATTTGTGCTACTAATTTGTGCTATAGGAAATTAGCCAATTAGAGAAAGACTTCGCATTTTCCGATAAAAGTGTAACTGTAAAAAAAAGAAAATGCGATGTCTTTTAATGAAGGACTAGTCAAACCCCTTGCGATGACATACTAGTTTGGGACCATCAAACCTGGACGTCCAAAAAATGCCTGATTTAGTTTTTTCTTTGTTCATTGATTGTCGATCAAACAATTTCCTTTTTATCAGCAATAAATGCAAATTTCTCATTTTATTTATATAAACTTGTAACTATAATTAATTTTAATATATATATTAATTTTTATTTCAAGAACGTCATTGAAAATTGAAAGTCAAGAGTGTAATACCTGACCTCTTATGCTAGCTATAATCATTTGCTGAGTAAACAATAGAACATTCAAAACTTTAGATTTCCTGCTGAAATAATGTTATTTGTATATATATGTTAAAAATAAAAAAATTGACACAAGCTTTTATCTGGATTAAAATCAACATCATGTACATATCTGACCGGATACGTGGTACTGTATTGTGAACCAATTTAGGTAACTTTGATACCCTCCTCGACCAGCATCAAATATATGTGTCAACTTAGTCAGAAAGATAGTTTGTTTGTTCGGAGAAGAACCCAGCTGTACTGCGCCAAATTTTCAGATCTCTAGCTTTAAAATTTTGATATCTGTATGGAAAAATTGTTCAAAAAGTGTCTGACTGATCGTCCTCGACCAGTAGACATGTCTGCGCATCAAAGGGAACGACCCCTGGCTTATTTTGGGAAAAAAATTATGGCATTCTAGACGATTCGGGAAATTGTTAAAATTTAACAATATGTACATTTTTGTTTATAGTAGTTTTATTTATAGTTACCTTATTTTGCTGTAGCTGGTATCCTACTATTATCCCAACCTAATAACTACCTTTTTCTTTAAAAATGTCTAAAACTTTCTTCCTGGTGAAGATTTTCTGTTTAAAATTACAAGTTAAATTGAAGTGTAAAATTAGCACTTTTTCATGTAAAAAAAGGTCACTGTTTTGTCCAATAAAAAGTAAATTTACATGGTCTATGTGACATTGTGTGTAATTACTGTCAAATAAATTGAGACTTTTCAGAGTGTAAAGTTTTTAAACTCGCTGAATAAAACGTGGCAGGTGTCATAAATTATGCTCAATTAATTGCAATGTTTACATAGATGTTGAAATATGAATTTTTTTCAAAACGGCTTATATTAAGTTTTTTTGATATATATGATCAGTACATGTGCTGGGATTGACAAATATGCATTTTATTTGGATTTTAAAGGCGTTTTGAGCTCCATACCCCAAGTGTCTTTGATTTTTTATGGCTGAGAGACTCTTCAATTTCATAATTCCTTTAAACTTCCCTTTTTGAATTGCTTTTATTTCCTTAATAATTTCTGTTATTATTCACACAGGGGTTTATGTTCGGGAGATTTGATGATCTGAGCCCGGACGAACAGTATAGGATCTACAAGATACTTCATAGACAAAAAGGAGAGCCAGGAAGTAGAGTAGAGGTAAGGCAACAACGCTCCTTAACAAATTTTGTGAAATAATTCTTTGATAACCAATGTACAAAATTACTTTACAGCACCCAGTTATTGTTTATGTGGATTCAGGATATTAATTTTGTCATTTATTATCAAAAGAGGACCTTTCAGGACATAGTTTAATTATAGACCGGATAAATATACCAAAGGCCTTATCCTAAAAATAAATATGAGCAAACAATGTCAGCTTCGAATTTCAGTACTTATTTAGTAAAATGATTAGCCTTTAAGTATATAAAACTATATATATGCTGCAAAATTTTCTGAATTTAGAAAATGAATACTTACAAAATGCTTGTATGAAATTAGTAAGGCGGTAAATTACCTTTAAAGTGAAAGGCGCTACTTAAAATAGCAGAATAATATTTTGTTCTGGAACATTTTATTATGTTTACATACAATATTCATGTATTTTAAAGAACAGAGACATCTTCAGTAACAACTCTTTGAGCATTGACCATAAGATTATGGAAGCAATATAATTTTAATGTTGATAAATTTTTATAACTTTTGAAGAAAAAAAATCTGTTTCGGCACACTGACTGGAAAACCACTTTGTGTTCTTGGGGGTGAGAAAACCAGAAACATTCATTATTTAGTCCCAAATTTAATTTTAGACTATACTGTTCAGCTATTTCATTATTGCTAGGGTAAAATATTGAATGTATTGCAGTTTCCATGGGATAAAGAAGAAGATGAAGTATCAGGGGCAGTTGGAGGTAAATATAAATGTTCGTCATAATTCTTACATTGTTTATATTATGTATGCATAGCAGTATAAAGTAAATAAAAAGTATTTAATAGGTAATCTGTCTGAATATTACAACCATCAAAATGATCTGATATCATAAAACAATCATAAAACAAAAATGAGATGCGTCATGACAAAACCGGCATAGTGCGTTTGCGACAGCATGGATCCAGACCAGCCTGCGCATCCACGCAGTCTGATCAGGATCCATGCTGTTCTCTTACAAACCCTATTACAAGTAGCGAAACTGATAGCCAACAGCATGGATTCTGATCAGACTGCGCGGATGCGCAGGCTGGTCTGGATCCATGCTGGTCGCAAACACACTATGTTGGTTTTGTCGTGAATCGGTTCAAATTGTTTTCAAAGCAGGAGGAGTAACTGCTAAATTCTACTTGTCCTGCATGTTGCACTACACATTCTGATTTACAAGTGATTGTCTTTACAAGACCAAATGAGCCAAAATATTTCCATAAATCTTTAGGAAAAGTAAAACTATTCAATATTCAGGTAATAATTTACTTGTTATATTATTGACTAGTTTTCCAGTATTTATTATTTTTATAACTATATTTCTACTGCTTGACTAATGCAGTAAGCACTATTTTTTGCATAAATTGACCTCTATAATGGTAATTTACGTGGGTTGTTAGTGCCATTGGTAAAATATGTGAATTACTTCCTTTTGGTTACTTCACAATATTTTACTTAAAAATATATTTTCATAATTTTCATAAAAATTAGCATGAATCTGGTGGCTTTAACGTAGGAAGATGGAAAACCAAGGAAGTATTTTGGGGTATGTGTAAAAAGTGCACTGTTTAAATTGCTAATGGGAGCATGAGCACTTGCCATTGTTTACACAGTGTATGTTTTATGCAAAAGAAATATACTGACATAACTGCTTTCATTATGACAGACTGATACTTGTTTTCAGGTACAACCCTGCAAGAAAAGAACTTGGCAGTTACTGGTTTAGAATTTGGATTCCAAGGTGACACAAATGAGGGTGTGCAATTTAGTTTTATGTCAGGGGATTCCCTGATGATTCAGTCAGGAAACTTTGAAGGAGGCATGTATAACCCTGTCAATGTGGATCAACCAGTTCCAACAAATGCAGATCAGTTTCAGGGTCAGTTTATGGTTCCTGGCAGTGGAGCCTACCCTGAACCTGGCAGTAATCAATTCATGTCCGAAAACATGAAACCAGCCATGGAAAGGATCCAGTATAATGAATTTAGCCAATTTAACAATCAGATGGAATCGGCTGATGAGCGTTCTGGACTTAACTCTAAGTTACAGGCAAGTATGAAACCATATGAAAGAAGGAATAAAAAGAAGAGACCTCCAGGTTATTATAAACAGTCTGATTCCTCAGTTCCCCAACAAAATTCCAATGACTTTGCCCCCATGCAGCCCGATCTCACTCAGCCCCCTCCCAATTTTCATCCAGATATGCATTATAATATGCCACCTCCTGGACTCGTTCCCAATCAGTATACAGTAAATAATCAGTATAGTGAAGTTAACCGGGAAAATGTTGCAAACTTTCCTGCTGGAATACCAGTGGCATACCAAGGTGCTCCCACACCAACTGGTGCTGGTAACATGGTCGTTGATAATGATAATGTTAAAAATAATCAAAGACAAGAAATGGGGGATCTTTATGAAGTTGTGATTGATTCTGGCGCCCCACAGAATAGTGCAAACATTCCAGCTAGACCTGAAACATATCAAATTCAAGACCATGAACGGACTAACTCCCAGAGTAGTGTAGATAATGTTAATCAAAGTAGTTCAAATGTTTGCGAGTTTATTCCAAACACAAATGTTGCAATTGAAAATAGAATGTCACAATTAAACGTACAAAGCTCTGGCGTTGCCAAGCCAACGCGAGTGGATGTGTCAATAAAAGATGCCCAAGTTATTGATGAACCTAGTCATATGCCATTAAACACTGTGCAAATAAGTCAAGAAAAACAAGTAATTGACATCAATACTAAAGAGGCAAATGATGCAAATGATTCAAAATATTCGGATAACGCTGCTGAGTTTATGGATGATTCAAAAATGAAATCAGATTCGGAAATTAAAGATGAACCTGTTGTTAGTACAGAACCATCTGTTGAACCAGAGACCAGCGCAGTGAAAAATCCTGAGCCAGTGATTCAGGAACCTGTGAAAACAGCAAAACCCGTGTCTTGGGCTGGTTTATTTAAATCAAACAATTCGAATGTGACCACACCTGAAGCTCCTATGTCTTATAGAAGTTCAGGTGGGGATAACTCTAGTGTTGGTGCTGATAGTGAGCAGAGAAGTGAAAAGGAGTTATCTCCCATGCCTGTGCCAGCCAGCGAAGATAGTGCAGCAAAAGAACTAGGAGGTAGGCTCCTAATCTGAAATTAGGAATAACTTTTTCCCCCATTATTTTAATTTCAGTTGTACATTTAATATTAATGTAGGTTTAACATATAAGTTGTTTGAAATAAATTTGAATTAAAAAGACTTTTGGAGAACAAAAGTTTATGATATACACCTAAAAGCTGTATAGAGGATAAATTTCTATCCAGGTATACCAGATAATATAGCAAGATTTCTTATTGGTGAAATGAGTGAAATTGTCATGAATTTTGACCAGGTTGTCCTGTGTCAATCAAGAAATGTGTCCAACTCCTATGTGCCTTCTTTGTTATTTCAGAGCATTTATCAAAGATGGTCATCAGTCACGCATCGGTATCGTTGCAGCCCAGAGGTCTTGTTAACCGAGCAAATTGGTGCTATATTAATGGAGTATCCTTTATATATCTTGTTATTTACTGATTTTAGAAAAGCAGAATAAAATTTGATTGTTTAACAGTACTTTATTCTAAAAGACCTTTACACTATCAAAAATGTCATAGAAGATTTTCACAATTGTTAGGCATTGTTTATATTTGACAGCTAAATTTGGTATAAAGTATGAAAATTTTGTTTCAGTTATTGCATTATCTTGGATTCTACATTATAATATATTTCATTTGTTTGTTAGTGGTAGAGATTATTGTCTTTAACTTTAAAACAGACATTACAAGCTCTCGTAGCATGCCCTCCATTCTATAATTTACTGAAGAAGTTACCACGGTACCCAGCACTGTCACGAGGTCCTTCCTCTACACCTATACTTGATGCATTGTAAGTCACATTTATCTGTGTTAGTATATTAAATTGCTTTGTTTCCACGGCTTTTGTAACAGTCACTGGAATCCACTCACCTTTTGATTTCAAAAGTTTATTTTGTAATAATGTTTAACAGTTACTTTATGTTGGAAAAATCAAATAATATGTGAAAGGGCACCTGAGGTCTTCCGCGACCTCCACTACAGCTTGAAAGTTGCCACATGACATATACAGTGTTGGTGCAGTCCAAAAAAAAAAAGTGATGTAAATATCCAGCTAATGAATAGAAGGTGGTTCCATCCATGTTTTGGCCTGAGTCTTAGTTGTGTTACTGTAAGCCTTAAATACAAAACAAACAAAAATAACATACCATAATGTAAAATTGTAAAATTAAAATTGATAAGAAATAGATCGAAGGGTTTCAGGAAAATATTGAACATTGTTGCACTTACTCAAATTCATTATAATATTAACTTTGCTTAGCCCCAAATATCTTACTTGTTGCCTTATATCCCCCGCCGATGGAATCGGGAGGGGGATATAGTTTTGGCGTTGTCCGTCCGTCCGTCCATCCGTCCGTCCGAATTTCGTTTCCGGAGTAGTTCTCTGCAACTACTGGCTGGAATTCAACGAAACTTTATGGGAATCATGAATATCAAGAGGAGATGCGCATCTGACCGTCCGTCCGTCTATCCGTCTGTCCGAATTTCGTTTCCGGAGTAGTTCTCTGCAACTACTGGCTGGAATTCAATGAAACTTTATGGGAATCATCAATATCAAGAGGAGATGCGCATATCGTCAGCTTGTTCCGGTCAGACCCTTTAACTCGGAGTTATGGCCCTTGATAAGTTATGTAGAATGCATATATAGTAAAATTTTGTTTCCGGAGTAGTTCTCTGCAACTACTGGCTGGAATTCAACGAAACTTTAGGGGAATCATCAATATCAAGAGGAGATGAGCATATCGTCGGCTTGTTCTGGTCAGACACTTTAACTCAGAGTTATGGCCCTTGCTTAGTTATGTAGTATGCATATAGAGTAAAAATCGTTTCCGGAGTAGTTCTCTGCAACTACTGGCTGGAATTCAACGAAACTTTATGGGAATAATCAATATCAAGAGGAGATGCGCATATCGTCAGCTTGTTCCGGTCAGACACTTTAACTCAGAGTTATGGCCCTTGATTAGTTATGCAATATGCATATGGAGTAAAAATCGTTTCCAGTGTAGTTCTCTGCAACTACTGGCTGGAATTCAACGAAACTTTATGGGAATCATCAATATCAAGAGGAGATGCGCATATCGTCGGCTTGTTCCGGTCAGACACTTTAACTTAGAGTTATGGCCCTTGATTAGTTATGCATTATGCATATAGAGCAAAAATCGTTTCCGTGCTACTTCTCCGCATCTTCTGGCTGGAATTCAACGAAACTTTATAGGAACCTTCAATACCAAGAGGAGATGGGCATATCGTCCCTTTGTTCCCGTCAGACACTTAAACTTAGAGTTATGGCCCTTGATAAGTTATGCATTATGCGTATATAGAAAAATCATTTCCACACTATTTCTTTGCAACTACTGGCTGGAATTCAACGAAAATTAATGGGAATCATCAATATCAAGAGGAGATGCGCATAACATTGGCTTGTTCCAGTCAGACATTTTATTTGGGAGTTATGGCCCTTAATTAGTTATGCATTATGTTTGTAGAGCAAAAATCGTTTCCACGCTACTTCTCTGCAACTACTGGCTGGAATTCAACGAAACTTTATAGGAACCTTCAATACCAAGAGGAGATGGGCATATCTTCGGCTTGTTCTGGTCAGACACTCTAACTCAGAGTTATGGCCCTTGATTAGTTATGCAGTATCCATATAGAAAAATATTTGTTTCCTCGCTACTTCTCTGCTACTACTTGCTGGAATTCAATGAAACTTTATGGGATACTAAGAGGAGATATGCATATAGTCGCCTTGTTCCTGTCAGATACTTATAACTCAGATTTATGGCCCTTGATTAGTTATGTAGTATGCATACATCTTATTGGCATTTCCAGATTTTACTATTTAAGACAAAGTTATGGCCCTGTTATTGCCCTGAATATTTATCAAGTTCAAAGAATATTACTGTTTATGCCATGATTAATATATAAATAAAGCCTTATGTCTTCAGTTGTTGTGTTAATAATAAACCAGTACTCGGCGGGGGATATAAATATAAATTCAACGAATTTGCTTGTTTTCTGTAGGGTTGAGTTTGTACACGAGTTCATGCCAATGTCAAGAAACTTTGAAAAGGGTAAGCTACATTTCTGTTACATCTTGCAAGTCTTACTCAGATTTTGATTATTTTCTATTTGTATAACCATACTGTTGTTAATAGGAAAAAGGATTTAAAACATTATTTCTATAGATAAATAGTGCATTTTGCGTGGTAAATTACAGTTTTTTAAATCTCATCAAGATAGGCATAATTTTAGAGCTTTGCTGCTAAAGTGGCAGAAGTTAGGTCAGGGGTTCTTATGAAGAGTATGGAAGTTTATTGAAGTTACTTAGATTTTAAAAGTGTATGTGCTAAAGATCGACCTACTGATCTGTCAAAGATAGACATTTTCTATGGTACTTTTTAAAACATTGCAACTGAATTACTACACAGACAAAAAGAAAAAAAATCTTGTAAGACTAAAGTAAATATTATTATCCCCCGCCGATGGAATCGGGAGGGGGATATAGTTTTGGCGTTGTCCGTCCGTCCTTCCGTCCGTCCTTCCGTCCGTCCGTCCATCCGTCCGTCCGAATTTCGTTTCCGGAGTAGTTCTCTGCAACTAACAAAACTTTTATGGGAATGTTGATCACATGTGAAGTTGTGCACCTGGGTATTTTCGTCTGGATATTTTTAGTATTTTTAGAGTTATTGCCCTTGACTCAGTAAAAATTTTGTCCGAATTTCGTTTCCGGAGTAGTTCTCTGCAAACTAATGGCTGGAATTTCAACGAAACTTTATGAAGAATGTTGATCAGCATGTGAAGTTGTGCACCTGGGTATTTTCGTCTGGATATTTTAGTTATTTTTAGAGTTATTGCCCTTGACTTAGTAAAATTTTTGTAATTTTCAACTTGTGTCGCATGTAACTCAAAAAGTATTTGACCTAGAGTCATGAAACTTTACAGGAATGTTGATCAGTATGTTAGTAGTTGTGCACCTGGGTATTTTGTCTGGATATTTTTAGTATTTTTAGAGTTATTGCCCTGCACTTAGTAAAAAAAAATTTGTAATTTTCAACTTGTGTCGCATGTAACTCAAAAAAGTATTTGACCTAGAGTCATGAAACTTTACAGGAATGTTGATCAGTATGTGTAGTTGTGCACCTGGGTATTTTCGTCAGGATATTTTAGTATTTTTAGAGTTATTGCCCTTGACTCAGTAAAATTTTGTCCGAATTTCGTTTTTCCGAGTAGTTCTCTGCAACTAATGCTGAATTCAACGAAACTTTAATGGGAATGTTGATCAGCATGTGAAGTTGTTGCACCTGGGTATTTCGTCCTGGATATTTTAGTATTTTTAGAGTTATTGCCCTGACTTAGTAAAAATTTTTAATTTTCAACTTGTTGTCGCATGTAACTCAAAAAGTATTTGACCTAGAGTCATGAAAAACTTTACAGGAATGTTGATCTGTATGTGTAGTTGTGCACCTGGGTATTTTCGTCTGGATATTTTTAGTATTTTTTAGAGTTATTGCCCTTGACTTAGTTAAAATTTTGTAATTTTCAATCACAATCATCAGTCACACGAGGCCAGAAAAGGAGTTTCAAAAAATGCAAAATTAAAAAAATCTTGTCTGACAGTTCAAGGCCTAGAGCTTTGATATTTGGTATGATGATATAAAACAAATAGGTCTCTGCCAAAAATTGTTCAAATTTTAGCCCTTGGGTCAAAATTGGCCCCACTCCAGGGGGTCATAGATTTTCCTTATATGTTTATAGTGAAAACTTAAAACTCTTCTTTGTTTGAAGGTACAAGGCTTCAAGTTCAAAAAAAATTTACAGTTTATGCCATGATTAATATATAAATAAAGCCTTATGTCTTCAGTTGTTGTGTTAATAATAACCAGTACTCGGCGGGGGATATAAATTCAACGAATTTGCTTGTTATAACACAAAATTGTCATGAATAAAAGTTTGGTGTATATTCTACAGGACATAAAGGTGTAAGAGATATAACACCTGGACAACCATTTGAACCTGCATATGTCTACAAGATGCTTCAAGCCATAGCTGTCAACCCACACTTTAAGGTAACACATAATATTCTTACTTCATCTTTCTAGAAATTCTTTTACTTGTCCTAGATTGAAAACTGCAATTTAGCTACTGATTTCTTTAAGATTTTTCTCATCGCAATACTATCTCATTTGATTTGTGAAAAATCAGTATTCAAAAGTATGCTGCACTTCTATGTTTGGACCTTCCTGGCCAAGGTAACTGACTGAATTTTTAGGTCGACAATTCAAAAAAATGGGAGAGCTCTTAAGTATAGCTTATCTCTGTTGGCATCACACTGTGGTTAAGTTTTTTGCATACAAGTTAATATCTCTGAAAGTACTGTAGGGATTGGGTTGAAACTTGACACGCTTATTTGAGAGCATAGTAGGAGATTGCTATACAAGGCCCATAACTCTATCATGGATTTTGTCAGAATTATGGATCTTTTTGAACTTAGAAAAATTCTACATAATAAAAGGCGCTTGTTTTACTATCAAGCACTGAGAATGGTTGAGCATGCTGTTCTACCAGCAGTTCTTGTTTTGCCCCTCATCTGACATCACCATTTGTTTGAAAATTGCCAAAGTCTTAGGTTTCTTTTTTGTCAGGAGGCTATTTGCTAGTTTATAGAAACGATGACTATTCAAGGATGATAATCTGTGGTCTTCATCATTCGCCAGTTAAGATAAAACATTATCATATGACCGTAAAAGTCTGTGTTACTTAAAAGCTGACAAAATGTATTGAATTTAATCAGAACTGTTGTGATCAATACCAATATAAATAATGGAATTTATGGTTATAATTTCAGCTGGGAAAACAAGAAGATGCTGAGGAGTTTTTGAGCTGTATATTAGATGGTATGCATGAAGAAATGTCTGCTGCTGTCAACCTGAACTCTAACAATATTGACGGTAATGGAAATGGTAAGTTTTTGTTTTCTTCTTACTTTAAACTATAGGTATTTAAGATTTATTATGTTGACTCTTAGCTTAAAAGCTAGTGTTAAGTTTATTGTCCTCAGACTGGAAAGTCTGAGGCAAGGCAAATCTTTTTTAAATTGTCTTGTTCCATTTTTCCTTCACAGCTGTTTCAAGTTATTCATATCAATTAGAAGTTGGCAGTAACAGAAATACCAGTGTACCTGTACTTGTTACATAGATAAAGTCGGCCATCAGTGTTTAAATTTCAGACATATACATGCTTTCAGTAGTCATTTCTAGGGTTTAAAGAATCTCTGTCTTGTCTTATGTGTCTAAATTTAAAAATGACTGTTTGACACATAATTTATTTATGGACACTTGACCAACTCATATTCTTGTCAATTTTCTGATTAATCCTTCAAAAATTTTTTTGTAATTAATAGGTCAGGTGTGGTATAAGATAACATTCATAATGGACAGTGTTCACAAGGTCTCATGATTTGATCATATTTTGTAGAATAATGGCTCTTAAATAAGTGAACCTGGTTTTGTGAAAATGTCGTCACTTTCTTTATATTTCTTATAATTTCTGTGAATTTCATCCAAAAAAATGTCTTGATTAACTTTATATTTCTTTGGATTTCTTTAAATTTCATCTAAAAAATGCCTTCATGAATTGATGATGAAATATGGAACTTGTTTTGTTATATTTAGAAACTGTCGAGTCCGAGGATGGTTATGTGAATGGTTACATTCATGCTGAAGGTGAAGAGCTTGAAGGGGAACCAGAGGACAGCTGGGAACAAGTTGGACCCAAGAAAAAATCCGTTCTTACAAGAAGGGTATGTGTTTTCAAAATCTTGTTTTCAAAATCTGGCCTACCTTTGTGAATGCATCCTGAATTCTTCCAATTCTTATAAGTGATAAAAGTGATCTGCTTACAAAAAAGGTTGATGGTTCAAGCCTGCAGCTGATTGTGCCTGAATTAATTAAATTAGAGGTAAATTAGGTCAGTCTCGACAAGAGTTCAGAAGTAGTCATATATCACCAAAGTTTACTCTTATTTATGGTTTTGAATCATTTTTTCAAAGACATGTTACATTCATAACCCCTTGCTTGATAATTGTTATGCATAAGTATATCTCAAAGTGCAACAAATGTATTGTTACTTGTTGCTTTTAGAATTAATGTTACATGAAGAAAAGTAATAAATTTGCCAAAAGCATTCTGGTGTAAGAAATATCTTTAACAGGGGCGGCAAAATTAATTGTCCGAATTGCCCAGGTTGCCCACAGCCTGTAGGGACAAGTGGAAATTTTCAAGTATTTACTACATAAATATCATACTGACAAATTAAGAAATTCATCAGATATAAACTGACAAGTCGGTCAAAATCAGATTTTGCCAGCCCTGCTTGATTTTAATAGTTTCCTATTACTAAGTATATGTGTGGCAGTAATATATGTACTTTTTTTATTGTTTTAGGCAAACTTTGCAAAGACCCCTATAGCAGATATATTTGCTGGTTTGGTTCGGTCAGCTGTGTACAAGTCCTCATCAAAGGAAACGGCAACCTTAGAACCTTTCTTTACATTGCAATTAGATATACAGGTGTGTATAAATTAATTCTTTATCATGCTTCCAGAAATTATCATGGTATAAAGCTATATCTAACAAATTTTTTATCTCTATATTCTTATGGTTGATTATCAAGAAAGAGTTGTTATATAGAATGTTTCTGTAATTTAACACATAAGATTACTATATGGAAATGGAAAAATTGTTCTGAAACCAAATTTTTATGCTGCTATTTAAAGTAGGATTTTCAACATTTAGCAGTGATGTCATGAATTTTTGATTTCGTCTAAAAGTAAATATACCAGCATGTTTCTTTCATACAAGTGTTTTGATCATTCAGGTATTCTGGAATGGTTCTTTTTCAAAATTTAAGCTTAAATTATTTAAACGCATGGATATTGCTTTATATACTTTAAGGTGTAGTATAGCCAGTTTGGTTTACTACAAACCTAGGAACCATGACTGATAGTGTTTTTGTTAATTGACTTGAATCTTGGGTATTTGTGCTTACATGTAGTTACGCCCTTAAGTTTGGTAAGACGGCAACAGCAACAGTCATTCAGGCTAAAATTTAAAAGTATTCAATGTCTCCTGATAGACACAAAGCTCCAGTTAATGTTTGAGATAAGACCACTGCTTTGAATCAGATTCTGTAAAAGGTACAACAGCGTGTCTTCATTCCTTTCATTACAAGTCAAGGTGATTATATTTAGGACTATTCAAGTCTTGTTACTGCACTGTAGGTTCAGGGTGAGCTGTTAGAATAAACTAGATTCTCTTTCTATTATATAGTAAAAAAAGAGTCATTAATATTTTAAATGAACTTTTTTGTATTTTTTAAAACCAGTCTGAAAAGGTATGGACTGTGAAGGATGCCCTTGAAGGCCTTGTCAGTAAAGAACAAATCAGTGGGTACACATGTTCGAAAACAAATTCAGAGGTAAGCATTATTATTCACTGTGCTAACATTTTGTATTAAGTGGTAGTTCTACTCAGGTGCCAGCTCGTGTCTGAAATAATGTAAGGAGGGGCACCTGAGGTCTTGCTCTGCCAGTAAAGCTGGAAAGTTACTATATGACCTTTAAGAGTGTTGTTGTGACTTTACCTGACCAGGAAATTTGTTTTGATGCTTGAAAATGCAAAAGAAGCACTTTGATGCTTGATAATTGTAAAGCTTTCCAAGCAGATATCGGCTTCACCCAGTGCAATTTAAACTGGGGAAAGTTTTTTTTTGAAGTTTCTCACTTATGCCTTACACATCCATCATTTCAAGCATAGCTCTTCCTTTCATCTCAATTTCCTTAAAATGTTGAAATTCATTTGTATCAATAGTATTACACAGTTGAAAAGACATAATTAATTAATGAACTGTTTTGATTGTATATATATATTTTCTTTGAAAGATTTGAAGAAGCCTAATTGCCAAATTGTCAAAATGAACGGACAACTCTTCAGACTGTTCTGTCATAGTGTTAGGAAGAGTTGCCTCTCTTAGTCTTTAGAAAAATGCACTCATTGTTATTGACCTTCCAGAATAACTCATTTCATTTACCGTCCTTGCGAAATATTAATTATCAGGATCAAAAGTATTCTCAAATTATACCTAAATCATTTATGCTAACTGATAACTGCAATTTAAATGATAAAGTTTATAGAATAATTGAAATATTTCTTAAATACATTAAAAGATATGTGTTTTTGATCCTGATTTTTTTCTGAGTACACACAAGGCCTTGTTCTTGGTAGTAAAGAAATTTTCGTAGCACAAATGCTGATCTTGTTTATATTTGATTGGTGGGAAACTGGTACTAAATGTACACTGACCATTGAAAATCCAGAGGCTTAAGTCAAGGTTTGTAAAAAGGTTTAATAACCTTGGATTCAGACTTCTGAGTTTGTGTCTTAGACTTTGGAATTCATTCTGCTGAGACATTTTAATTTTGCTGTAACATGTCACATATTATTGTTTTTTTTCTGTGTCTAATTTGATATTTTATTTAGCTAGAAAATAATCATAGTATGTTCTTCTATAATCAGGTGGAGGTAATGAAGAAATTAAGTTTGGAGGAACTGCCACCTGTACTTATTCTACACCTGAAATGTTTTGTCTACAACAAAGATGGTGGTTCACAGAAACTTATGAAGAAAGTGGACTATGGTATTGAATTAGAAATCACAAAAGGTAATATTTTTCTTCACTTTCACATTGTTGTCAATAATTTACTGTACTTTGTTTTCAATGGTGTACTTAATTTTTCAATGGTTGACTTTGGTTTTCAATACATTTGTACTTTAGTTTTCAATGAGTTACTTTGGTTTTTAATGATTTACTTTGAATAACATCAGTTTTAAATACATTTGTACTTTGGTTTCCAATGATTAACTTTGGTTTTCAATGATTTACTTTGGATTTTAATGATTTACTTTAGTTTTCAATAATGTACATTGGTTTTCAATGATTTACTTTGGTTTTTAATGATGTACTTTGGTTTTAATGATTTACTTTAGTTTTCAATGATGTTCTTCGGTTTTAAATGCTTCACTTTGGTTTTCAATGATGTACTTTGATTTTCAATGATTTACTTTGATTTCTAATGATTTACTTTGGTTTTCAATGATTTACTTTGGTTTTCAATAATGTACTTTGGTTTTCAATTATTTGCTTTGGTTTTCAATGATGTACTTTGGTTTTCAATAATGTACTTTGGTTTTCAATGATTTAATTTGTTTATAACCTTGATGCCTTTTTTGGACGGGGTTGTTATCTTCAACCCACATTTCTTTGTTTGCCATACCCAATGAAATATAATTTGTGTCATAATAGAAAATTATTTTTTTCAACCATATGATGTCCTTATTGTGAATAGTTTAGTCTACATTTTCTGTTGTAATAAGGCAGTTTTTCATACACAAATAAAGACTTTATTGAAGGAATTTTCAATGAATTAGATTTAGTATTTTGTTTATTAATACTAAATCATGAGCTGTTATATAAAATTCTAAAGGGAAAGAATTCCATTTATTTGAATTTTGAATAGTTATATTATATGACAGAGAAAAATGATTATTTTGATACAATACCACACCTTACGTAATTTGATTAGTTTCTTTCAATACATAACAAACTAGATTTCTATGAATAATAACACCTTTGTTCTCAAATTGAATAGAAGTAAGCAAAAAAAAATTGGAAATTAAATTGTCATTGTATCTTTACATGTAATAATGCTATATCTTACGAAATGTTTTTATAGAATTAATCAATAGTGAAATTATACTGTTTCTATAGTATTATGGTCGGTTCTTGAAAGAGTTGTAACATAAAATGACTTAGTTATTTGACAGACATGAACATTACATCTAAACAGAATAAAATGTTCCAGAATAAAATATTACCCAAGTAGTGTTAGTTTGATTCAAAATCCTATAAAAAATTATCAGATACTGTTGATAATAAATTACTTTATATTGGGTATCTTTTTATTATTATTTTCTCAGATGCCTTTACAGATTTATGATTATTGGAAAATTTTGACTTTGAAATATTTGAATCATAATTAATTTTGTTATTATTTTGATACTTTCAGATTTACTGTCTCCTAGTGCACGCAGCAAACTTACTGTAAATCAAAGATCTTACAAATTATTTGCAGGTAAGTGTTGAAATATTAGTTTGCAATGTTTGTACCTTCTGCTTATTCCTAAAATCTTTAGTAAGGCAGAGTTTGAGTCGTAATGGTTCATTACTTTCAATTGCTTGCCCTATCACTCATGTGTGTTCGAATCCTGCCAGGTCCTTTGGATTGTTACATTTGAGGAATTTTTCCAGGTAACTTGGAGAAGGTCATCAGTTCTACTCCGGTGTCTGCCATCATATGAAATAAAGTACATGATCTGTTTACATAGTCAGTGGACCGCCTCCGTGGTCGAGGGGTTAGAGTCGATGACTTCTAATCCAATTACCTCTCTGGCCTGGGTTCGATCCCCGGGAGATGCTTTGGTAGTTTAGCACAGAGGAAGGTAGTCTAGTACTGGTGTAACTCTCCAGGAACGATGGTTAGGAAACTACCTGCCTATATGACTTAAATACTGTTGGGGAAAAAGCGTAAAAGGAAACAAACAAATAAATATAGTCAGTGTGACTCTAAAACCAACAAAAAGTAAAACTTATATTTGGTGTGCACTTAGTTGGCTGAGTAGTTTTGGTCCCTGGCTAAAAATAACTTTCCTTTTACCTCACTGTGATAATCATAAAGTTGGTTCAAACCCCACCAGATATGTTGAACTCCATTATGTTAGGAATCTGTCCAGTTTGATTATGGAATGTTTAGGGTTTGACTAAGATGCTCTTCTGTACCCAAGTAATGCGGGGAAATTTATCTTCGGGTTTTAAACCAGGATAGCAATAAAACATTGCCATTTGACCATTATTTTTATTTCACTTTATTTCTAAAAAAGAAAACCAGCATGAATGAAAAAAAAAATGCTTTATTAGAAATTATTTTCAAGAAGGAAAATAATATAAAAAGTAAGTTTATCTTGTGTTATGTACATTGTATTTTTTTTTTTTTAAATAGAAAATAATATTAAAAGTAAGCTTATCTCGGGTTGTGTGTATTGAATGAATTTTTATCGTGATTTTATTTTGTATTTTAGTTGTCTACCATCATGGGAAGAAAGCAACAGGTGGACACTACACTACAAACGTATTCCATCCCGGAATCAACGGATGGGTGAACAGCGACGACAGTCAAGTGAAGACAGTAACGGCACTCTCGGTTCTGAAATATTCACCCCCTCGAGTACCGTACTTGCTGTATTACAGGAGACTGGATAGCCACTAGTGCTGTACATGAGAGGGTTATTGTGAAATGAGAGGTTATTATGAAATGAGAGGTTTTCTACAGAGAGAGGTTTATTATGTAATTTAAACAATGGTTTATAGCCTTTCTGAGCAATTGAATTCAGAAGGCTTGTTAGTTCAGTGATATGACACAATGATTTATTCTGTGTATAACAATGATGTAAAGTGTTTGTTATATTTGTATAGTTTTGTGATATACAACAATGGATTATTGACAATTTAACGATAGTCTGCCTTTGTGAACATTATGTACACTTAACTCTTAAAGGTTGATCGTGAAAAGTGTTAGATAGCAATGGTTTATTTCGTAATATTAATAATGAAGATTTGCTTTTGAAGTTATTTGATTTACTATATTACAAACTACAAAGGTTTGACAGTGCGCAGTAGTTGGTTTATTATTCCATATTTGCTTACAATGTTTGATAAATATTGCAAGTAGATGGTGATTAGATATTATATAGGCTTAATAGTATGCCGTGATATATATGTATAACCAATGGTTTGTACTGTATTAAAACAACGGTGCCTCGTTCGTCATGGATTTGAAAGACACTTGTGAATAGGTATTGCGGATTATTATTTAATTATAAACAATGAAATATTCCTGACAATAGGATATTGTATAGAAAAATAGATATGTTGTACATATGCTATGTAGGGAATGGAACTGGATGGAGTTAATGACAAACAATACATGTATAATGAAGACAGTAGTGGACTAATTTGGTGCATCAGGCTGGATTTTGAATTCTAGTGAAATACCTAGGAAGATCTTAAAAGTACAAGGAAGAAAAATAACAATATGTTTACATGTACTTTATAATATCCCATAAAAATTGTCTTGTAGAATATATTTAATGGTACTTTTTAAAGGTTTCAATTAATTGTGTTGCTTTAATGTCTTCTTATAATTGTTGAAAGGGTTTCATTCTTTAAGGGGAAAAATTCAAGGATGCTATTGTTATTTTGTACGGAGCCAAAAATTTGAAAACTTTCAAGTTTTAGCAAATTACTGTGTCTGTTCACATAATTTTCAGGATGCTTGAATTAGATCTTCATGAGAAAAATTCAGTTATGAAAAGTTCAATTAACTAAGATATCTGTAAAAAAAAAATTTGAGCATGCATTAACAAGATCTTAATGAGAAAGTTTTAATTATGGTAAGTGAAAAAAAAAAACTGAGATATTTTTATTGAACACCTATGAAATATTCCACCACTTATACCTATCACATTATTGACTAATATGGAGGAAAGATAATACTTGAATCTACGACTATGATGTTAATCTTCTTGTAAACTGCCATTATTTCACTTCGGATATATTTATATTACATTCTATATATTTAAACAAAAGCTACGGGTTTTGCTTAAAAAACTTTTTGTGTAGTCTTAATTGCATTGTGTTTACTTTTTTGTCACCTATGCTTGTTTTGTATGATTTTGGTCTTTAAATTTTCATTATTTTGTGTCCTGTCGCAGAAAGAATTTATAAGAAATCCATACACTGTTTTACATTTAAAAAGAAAGAAAGAAACATTTTGAACTAGGTGTAATGTTTTAGCACCTCTATTGTTAATAATGGCATGTTCATTGTATCAGAATTGAGTAAAGCAAATTGTGTACATCTAAAATTAGGGTGGAACTGTCAAAATTGGAAGTCTGGCAAGTATATTTGTCAAAGTTCATCGAGGAAATCGAACATTGGATAGTGAAGTGAAAAGCTTTATTACTAACTTTGGTTATAAAATTGTAGAATGTTGTTGTATATTTTATGAAATTATTTAATCTACATTGATCTATCACTCAGACAATTTCTACACACTTTAACTGATATTATTGACAGTTTATCTGATTATTGATAACAGTGAACACTGCAGCTTTAGATTTAACTTGTAATGCTTTTGTCATCACAAAAGTTATTAAAACCCCATGGGAGTGCAGCCATCAACACTAGATTTGACAGAGTATGAATATCAATTTAAAATTTGAGACATTTCATTTTGAATTTTTCCAGTAGGGAATTTAATGTTTATGTATATGCCATTTATTATGTTTCTTGCAGTAAAAATATCGGTGAAAACAGAATGATGCTTGCAATAGAATAAAATCTTGTCATAAAGTTGATATATACCTTGAACTGTGAAGACAAGTTTCAATTTTAATTAGACATAGCTTTAGCATTAATTTTATTGGCTATTTCACTTTAATTCTTTTTTTCCTTTGCAAAAGTGAAAAAAAGCACACACAAAAACAAAGGGAGTTAACTGGGCAAGAAATAAAATTGTTCAGATATTGTGTATGTGAAGTATTGGACGGTATGTTTAAGTTAGAGATATTTTTGATATTTTAACTGTTATATGTTAAAACAGTGCCCGTTCTCCTATATACTGTTATACAGTAGGACATGTGTGTACTATAAAATTGATAAATATTATGATGTACATTATTTATTGTATATAACTATTATTTTGCCCTTATGGAAATATATATCATTTAATTGACCCCCGTTTTCTGCATTTATGTTAAAAGACTTGCAGCAGTGGTAACACTGCTAAAATGAACTCTATATAACTTAACAAGGTCAAATTATTTCTTTGATTAAAATGACTGTTATGATTTGTTTTTGTGTGTTTGTGAAAGAAAAGTATACATGTGAAGAAAAGGAAAAAATGAATTTTTTTCATGCATTGGTGCAGAAAAATGAATAGCTGATAGTAATTGTATGTGTGCACATGTCCGTATGTTTGTCTCTAGACCTCACCTCGACTCTTTTAACTTATTCGATTACAGTTTAACTTGACAAGAATATTTAAGAATAGACCTTGTACATATCCCTTATTTGGTTCTGTTGTGAGTTATAGCCCTTTGTTTAAAATCTTATCAGCACTGATTTTCAGCAGCATATGGTAGTTCATTTTTTTCAGGTATTGTATCTGAATATGTTTATATTTTTGTTTTTGTTTTGTGTATTTTTTATTAGCATTTGTTGGAATGTTTTCCCCCTTCTCTCCCCCCACACTTTGGTCTCTTGGGTTTTGTATTGATGATGTTAAATGTAATACACTGTATTGAATAAGCAGGTGTTAATACACACCTGTGATCTTGAAGACTACTTTAGCCTATTTATATATTTAACAGTTTCATATGGTGTCTCCTAAGGAGTCCTTACAAGTAGGAATACTAGACAAATTCACGGATGTTAGTACAAAATGTTCCTTTTATTCTTGCAGTGTGTTTTATATCGCTTAAAGTTGTAGTAGATTGCTGGGCTAATTATTCAAAATGACAACACCTTGATAATGGGATAATGGACTTCAGTCACTTAATTAAACATTTGATTTTGAACTTGTTCATCTTGTCTGGAAAGAGGTAGGAAGTATAAAATGAAGAAAGGTTTTTGGTCTGCACTCTGGTGCTTGCTGTTGCATTCAATAACTTGTCAATCTTTTATATTTGTGGGCATATAACAATTATGATACTGGATTTACTTTAAATATGATATAATATATAATAAAGATTTATCACGGTTAAAGACACTTTATGCCTAATAATGCTATTATAGTATCCTGTTACAGTTTCCAAAACATAATGCATTGACCATAAAGCCGTGGCATCTTCTGCATTTTTGCAATTAGTACAGTTATAATGATTTTAAGCATTTTGTATATAGGCCAAATTACTACTTTGTTAACATTTTGCTATCTTTATTGCAAATATTTTCACCTTCAAATATAATTTCTTCTGATGATAAGCAACATGCTTTTAATCCAACATTACAACATTATATAATACATATTTGCCCTTTCTGCATCACTTCTGAGGCTTAATGTGCCTTTAATTTCCATTGTATAAAGTACTTAAAAAATCTATACAAATATTTTTGTGTCAGACCTGATTTTGTGTGCCAGTGGAGAAAATGTTAAATACATAAAAGTATAAATAATTTGATAGTTTTATGCAGAATACAGAAAAAAATTGCAATGGCTTGGCATTAAAGTTAGAATTCCTATAAAGCAAAATCTAATGCAGTTAATGATTACAAATTTTATAAACTAGATAACATTTCTTTTACTAGTATGTCTCACTGGTTAAACTTGATTTATATCAGTTCTATATCCTTGTTTCTTTTGCTTTGCCTTTCATAGTTTAGATAATATTTAAATGTTAACATTAATTTATTACCTCTTAATTAAAAACTATTTATAGCAGTGGCGATAATAGCCTGATTATGGAACGTCAGTGGTTCTAGTCAGGTGCCTGCTTGTTCCAGACATAATGGAGGGGGGGACACCTGAGGTCTTCTTTCCCCAGTATATCTGGAAAGTCGCCTAGTGACCATTACAGTGTTGGTGTGACTTGAAACACAAGAATTACAACAATAGTGGCAGTAATGTCTTCACAATACAGCATGATCAGTCGTGAAGGTTAAAGCATCTCGTTCAGCATCTTGATAATGAAATCCCTGAAATTTGAAATAGACCAGTCCAATTTCAAAGTCATTTCAAACATTTATGTGTTATAAATAATCATCAATCATTACATGTATCTAGAATAAAATTTTGTTGTTAACTGGTTAACTTTTAAATGATCACCAATAGCTAGATATATGCAGAATCAATTTTATTGTTGTCTGGTTGACTTAAAATGATCATCAATAATTAAGAGGTATCCTGCATAGAAATGATCACCAGTTTAGAATAAAAAAATATGGTTGAATGGTTAACTTAGAAATAATCATCAGTAATTTGACATAAAAAAAAAAATTATTGACTGGTTAACTATCATTTTTGTAATTAGACCTATTCGGAATAAATTTTGTTGATTCCATGCTAATTCGAAAATGATAATCAATTATATGATTTATCAAGAATAAAAATGCTGACTGGTTAACTTAGAAATGATCCTTTGGTGTATCCAGAATTGAATGTTGTTGATTTACTACCTTCTAACAGAAATAATGTAGTTAATCTGGTGTCCTGTTTATCAATTAATGTTAAATTTTGTGAGTGATATCAATTGAAAAATGTTTCAAGAATATTGATAACAAATGCTTTTGTTAATATGCTATTTCAGATACTTGAATAAATTGTATAAACCCCATTATTGTGTGTTGCTTATTCTTTGTTGCCATTTATAATTATGTATTTTACTTTATACAATTCAAATGGTTGTAAAACCATCTGACTGGACTTTCGAATACATTGTCTTGTATTAGTAGGTCACCAGAGCATAAAGTGATAAAAGTGAGCTATTGTGATCACTCGTAGTACGGGTATAAGAATGTTTTTTGGCTGACACTGTTTCATCAAAGATAATAGGGAAATCTTTGAATATCTTGTAAACTATTCTAATTTGATATGTCCTTGGGGTAACCATTTACCAACAGTGTTTAAATTATTTGATTTGATTAAATAAGATGATGGTTATATGGTAGGGTCACTTATAATATACAGAAATCGTTTTGGTTAAATCGGTTGATCAGATTTTGATACAGACTAATAGAAGTGGTTTATAGAAAATGACTACTATGATTGTTCCAAAAAAGTTGATTTGTTAAAAAACAGTTCATAGGGAGAGGGGATGTATTTCTCTATATGCAATTGTTTCTGTTTAGAAAAAGCACAGCAACTGTTCCTATAACCTCGGGTGAGCATACAAATTTCAAGTCGAAAATCATGTGTCCAATGATTTTTTTTCTCTGCTAAAAGTAGTTTATCATCTGTTGTTGATAAAATCCGGAGAAGGATTTTGAAATGATGCTGAGTCCGTCTGGATCCATGTTTATTACAGGAATATTTTTATAAACAGAGGAATGAGGCTCACTAAATGTCACTTAAATCCCCAAATGGGGTTATGGCCCTATGTTACTTACAAAATGACACGGTTCAATGTCTTTTGCTAGTATATACATCTACGTATTTTTACGTAAATACACACCGTTTTCCTTAGCCCACCGCAACCTACCCATTTCAGAATAGGTCTTGCAAAAGCTTTGAGTATAAGATACATGTCGCAAGCACAAGGTTCCAAAATGCTTCAAGGTATAGGCGCACGACGGTCTGTTCTTGTTTTCCATTGTAATATGGTATTTCAATAAAAACCCGGAACCCAGAATCACGTCCTTATTATTCGATTTCGCTGAGGAGACACCGATTCGATAGTTTGGAGTCTCCACTTGCTAAAACCTAAGGTGCACAAGGCTGAACTGAAAAACAAATTTACAAGATTTTTGAAGGACATCGGCACAAGCACTTGACCATTTTTTTCTGCTAGCATTTTTAAAATTTTCGTATTACATTTTTCGTAGCTAACCGTCAGTTAGCAAATGATTTGCGCATTTGAATGCGTAGAAGCACCCTTTTACTGCAATATAACTCACATAGTTCTGCTAGCATTTTTAAAATTTTCGTATTACATTTTTTCGTAGCTAACCGTCAGTTAGCAAATGATTTGCGCATTTGAATGCGTAGAAGCACCCTTTTACTGCAATATAACTCACATAGTTCTGGTAAAACAAACAAGATGGTCATATCCCTACATTACATAGGCATTATCCCGCGGAGTTACCTCTTCTGACATTACACATATATAACCTTTACTTGATTTCGTAAAAAATATGGCGCCTATCTTCATCTCTCGGATTGGCTCATGCAATATTTGGAAGGCTCCCCTGAGATGATTGAGTGATAATGTGCAATTGAAATTGGTCACAAGTAGTTTCATGTCATGCGCAGATAGTACTTAAAAAGCGTAGCAATTTTCTCCTTTTATCATCCTTGAAATCTATTATCAATTTTCCTTTCATCTGAAATAACAGTCTACTTCATGCGGTCTAATCTTGATCAACCGTTCGTTAAGGTGATTTCAAAATGTAACAAAGTCGTTTTACTACTTTGTTATATCAATGTTGCATGATTAATACTGATTTTAGAATTATCGCCTGCAATATGTGCATGTTGTCTGCTGTTATCTTCTAATAATTACTGCAAATATTGACGTTCCTACATACACAATAAGGTCACGGTGGCATGTGGTTGCCAATCTTCTTAGCTGGAATTATAGACGAATTTAACCGATACAAACGGAATATTTTAGATTTTTGGTGTGTGTTTTTAAACAGTTTTTCGAATAAAGAATATCATCTTGGTCATCTATATAAATCTATATACTAAATAAAATCCTGTAGCCAAAACATGATTTCAGTAGCAAAATTATGACATTTTAAGCAATTGGCTGATGACAAATTGAGTACAGGATGCATTATCACTATGTTCAGTATCTTTAAGATAAAAACAATAAATTTATATCATTAGACAGTATGTCAACCTGCTGACTGTAAAAAAACACTCCCTGAGCAAGCAAAGCGAGCGGCACAAAAATTGGGCATTTCTGACAAAATAATTTAAAATGATGAAAAACTAGAAATTCTAGGAGCATTTTAGAAAATCAAGTTAAAACTAAGAGCACTTGTGAAAAACTAGGAAAATGTAGGAGTCAATGTAAAGCTTGTATTGGTCATCGATCTTCGGCCTCGACCTTTTGTAATCACACAATAAATGACATTTCTAAATATGAAACAAACAATTTGTTTTTATCTAATTTTTTCAAATACATTTTATAAAAATTTGTGTTTATGGTATTTGCTATATATCTTAATGCATATAATATAATATTACAGGAAGTATTATTCTAAATAACATGAAATATCTTGCCTGAGCTCACATTAGGGATTATTTTCTTACCGCCAGAATCAATGTAAAATATGATTAAATTTCTTTCGAATATCTCAAAAATAATTAATAATAGCCCAAAATCCCGCAGATGCCTTGATCGAGGGACCAATCAATTAAACTATGCGCTATATGCGTTAATTAATTATCATCGTCATCATCAACATCAACATTAATAAAAACAATTATACATGTATAGGCAGTAAAATAAGTAAATGCACTGCACAATTATAAGCTTATCAATTGAATACAAGAAAACAAGAAATCGCTCACACTCGTTTAATTGATATATAAGATACAAACTTATATTTTTATGGAGTGGCAAGCACGAGTCACATTGGAGATAGGGTGCATGGACGGTAACTTTCCAGTACCGCCCATGAGCAGGCTTTATCAAACAGGGTCTGCAACATTTTGTCGTTTTGGGCGTTCATAAGGGACTCCGTTAATCAATTTTCGTGATGGAAAACATCCATCTAAATAAGTTTTTAGTAAGGTAAGTTTTAGATTGGATACCCCAGGAAAACACAGGTGAATCGAATTTATTGTAATGAATTTCCCTCGCCATATAAACAATCTGATAAATGTCGCAAAACGTGTATGTGAAAAATATTTCAAATGCCAAATATTTGTTTGTGCACTAGGTCGATGTGGAAACATCGGATACATCGTGTTTCAAATCTATATTTTGTATATTGTTATATATTACTTTTTGTCTTATAACCTACAAAATATCTAACCGTGGATATGATACAGGGGAAATAATGTTGAATAAATGACGCTTTGTCTACAAGTTTACCGTTCTAGATCAAACATGAGATACCATTTTAAGTAATCTTTAGACAAAAACAGAAATTTATGTATGATACATCCAAATTTATTAAAATGTATGGAATTTTGGTGAAATCTATATAGTTTTGTTTAGATTTAGACGACAAACAAAATATGACATTCTGATTTTTGTACTTTAAATTGCTGTCAGCTATTTAAATGTTGCCCCGTACTTCATCTTAGTGTTGTTGTATTATTTGATTCTTTTCGACGCTTTATTTTGTTACAGAAAATGCTTATGCCAGTTCAACGGGTCGTCAGAGTTGATGAACCTTTTATTGCGTCTCATAAACAGGGTCAATTAAAAGTAATATAGTATGAAATTTTCATTTTTTATGCCCCCACAAAGTGGGAGCATATAGCGTTGCACTTGTCCGTCCGTCTGTCCGTCCGTATGTCCGTCCGTACGTCTGTCCGTCCGTACGTCCCGAAATCTTGTGAACACAACTCCTCTTAAACCGGATGGCAGATTATGCTTAAACTTACAGGGATGAACAACCTTAATGTGTAGATGGTAGTAAAGGAAGGAATTTTCGCTGCGACCAAATTTAACAGAATTATGGCCCTTTGTTGATTTTTTCACTATAATAACTATGTAGAAATTTTGTGAACGCAACTCCTCTTAAACCGGATGGCAGATTTTGCTTAAACTTACAGGGATGAACAACCATAATGTGTAGATGGTAGTAAAGGAAGGAATTTTTGCTGCAACCAAATTTAACAGAATTATGGCCCTTTGTTGATTTTTTCACTATAATAACTATGTAGAAATTTTGTGAACGTAACTTCTCTTAAACCGGATGGCAGATTTTGCTTAAACTTACAGGGAAGAACAACCTTAATGTGTAGATGGTAGTAAAGGACGGAATTTTTGCTGCGACCAAATTTAACAGAATTATGGCCCTTTGTTGATTTTTTCACTATATACCATATAGAAATTTTGTGAACACAACTCCTCTTAAACCGGATGGCAGATTTTGCTTAAACTTCAAGGGATGAACAACCTTAATGTGAAGATGGCAGTAAAGGAAGGAATTTTTGCTGCGACCAAATTTAACAGAATTATGGCCCTTTGTTGATTTTTTCACTATATACTATGTAGAAATTTTGTGAACGCAACTCCTCTTTAACCGGATGGCAGATTTTGCTTAAACTTCCAGGGATGAACAACCTTATTGTGTAGACAGTAGTAAAAGAAGGAATTTTTGCAGCAACCAAATTTTACAGAATTATGGCCCTTTGTTGATTTTTAGTTTTCAACTTGTGGCACATGTAGTCTAAAAAATATTTGACCTAGAGTCATAAGATTGACAGAACAGTGGCGTGTGGGGGCATCAGTGTCCTATGGACACAATTCTAGTTTAAAATTGACATTATCTTCATTTTTTATGGTAAGGTTGAGCTGTTCAAACTGAGTATATTTTTCATAATATATTTTTTGAAAAATGTTTAGGACAAAAAATATAAATCTGCCTTAAATATAAAATGATTTCCCCACTCTTTTTATGAATTGAATGCTGAGGTAATTCCTATGGATATTTA